CTGGGTGAGAGGCGAGTGGAATGCTAGAGGCTTTTAGGGAAAGCTTGGGGAGGGGGCGGGGGTGGACCCCAGCAGCAGGAGGTTATCTGTAAAGATTGGGACACACTGGTCGCGGAGTTCCAGGGAGAGCAGATGCTGTGCGTGGTCGCACACAGCTGTGATGGCGTGCTGCACCTCTTGCCTGCAACTTTTAATGTGTTGCCTTTCCCGACTCAACATCGATTAAACATGCATCAGACTCAGCAGGCGCTTAGGCTCGTTTTGTCTCAGGAGTGACCTCTCTTTAGTATTAAAATGTTCATGTTATATTGTCTCAAAACAGCTCGATGTAGAAAACTCTGGCCCTCTCTTCCATGCTGTAAAAGATAGGCAGAAGGTAGTAATGAATTGAGTAAAACTCTGGGACTTGTTGGACCATATTTTATTGAGTAAAGTACAGAAACTTGGAATCAAACATTAACCTTAAAACTCACCTTGAAAGCTAGTGCTGTATTAAGTATTTCCCTGTCTTGAAATAACACTGCAAGGTAAATGTCCTTATAGGTAACCTGAAGGGGAGGGGCGGTGTCTGTGCCATTTGGATGTGTTGGAATGTTGTCGTATTAAGTATTTGAAGTAAACAGGCCATTGGCTGGCAGCCTAGAGATATTTTTTATATGGAGATTTTGACGGATGGAATTTGTTAAAATGGTATTTGACCTGTATTCAACTGCAATTTTGGACAAATCTAATTTTAGGCATAATTACGTTGAAATGTAAACATAATATGTTTATGTTACAGATTTAGAGAAACCCAGAAATTTGTTTGGTTCATCGAGTAGTGCAAGAAAAGAAAGCTAGTGAATTTGTGGTTTACATTATAGAAACTGGCGTAAATTTTACCACATTTAATGGCTTAAGAAGGGAGGTGGTGTCTTTTTCAATGCCTAAAACAGAATCATATATCTCTAAGCTGTTGTTTTTGTACAAATCATCCTCAGTTTGAAAGTTCATTTTCCATTTCTAAAAGTAATAAAGTGTTTAAATTGTAGAGAATTTTAAAATGCAGAAAAGTTTTAAGGAAAAAGAAATTACTCATGGTAGTAATCCCATCCTCAATTTTGGGGTGGATTTTCCTCCATTCCTCCCTCCCTCCCTTTCTTCTTTTCTTTAGTTTTAACTTGAAGACATAATCGTGATCTTACTGTAAATAAAAATGTTCTGCTTTTTCCTTGAATGCCATAACATAAGCATTTTGTTCATTAGGAACTGTCATCATTTTTAATGGCTCAGTTGAATTGCATCATGTAAAATGAACCACAGTTTACCAAACCATTCCCTCAGTCATTGTTAGACATTGAGATTGGCGGGGGGGGGGGGGGGGGGGCATTTTTTGCTGTTGATAATACTGCAGAGAGCATTTCTGTATGAAGTTTGTGATAATGTAGGCTAGATTACTATGTGAAGATTTCTAATTAGTAATGACAAATATGACAATTAAAAATGGAAATATTTCTCTTGTCCTGTGTATTTAGCTAAAGGTACCAGTGTTTAAATTCTTAAAATTATCATCTCTTTTCTTTTCTCCTTAGTCTCTCAGTGTTTGGTTTGACCTTAGTCTTTTCATAATCTATATTCACCAAATAGTAGTTGATAAATCCTTGAAATATTTATTTTATATACTGTGGATATCTTCTATCTTTTTGGGTTTTTTTATATTTTATATTTTCAAAACTTGTCTATTTGATGATGATTTCCTGCCCACCTGTGTACCGTTTCAGTGCCTAAGAAACAGTTAAGTGAAGGAATGTTTTCAGTGATGTCTTCGGAGCCAAACAGAAGTAGCATATAGTATTTTTTGGTTTTTGCTTTTAAAGAGAACTTGACACAAAGCTATTTAATTTTATTTCACATTATATACCGTATTTTATGATTTAAATTTGTTTGATTTTGATCCTACTGTAAATTCATAGTGACTAGGTTGTTCTAGTTTGTGGTTTTTCAGGTTCATCTGGTTAAAAATACTGTAAAATCTTGTGTACATACTTTAAATTTATATGAGAATATGTTTTCTATACTGAATCTTAGGATTAATAAAACATTTTAGGTTTCCTTTAAGGAGTTCCTTAAAGTCTGAAGAATTGTTTGAGAACAATGGTTCTAGATAGAGATGGTAGTGTGGTTTCTTAGAAACTACCATTTATTGAGCATTTTCTGTGTTTCAAGCCCTTTTTCTCTACCAAGCTTAACATACATAATCTTACTTAGTTCTCGCAATAGGTGTTCCTATTTTACAGGCAAGGGAACAAGCTTAGAGAAAGGCAGTGGAGTCTGACAAACCTTGGTCTTCCTGACGCTGGACCCATTGCTGGCATTCAGAGGATTTTAAATGAAAGAGACTTAAAAAAAAAAAAGAAAAAAAGACTTTGCTTTCTACATACCCCATGGCCTTAGTCAGTGCCCCTCCTACATCCGAGGGTCTCTGTGAGGAGGGAGTGACTGTGTAATTGAAAGTATTAAGAGGTGAGAGCATCAACTTACAAAGTTCACTGAAAACAGCCGAGACTCTCCTCTCACTTTAATTTAGAAAAGGGAGGTTGGTGGGAGTTGTTATAAACAACTTGGATCCTTTCTCTGTGCAGATTCCTTTTTAATATAGCTAAACGTTTGCCTTCTAAGCTCCATCTCCATTCTTAAAACTCCTGTCCCTAATATAGTTGGGCAGTATATATTAGAATTTCTCTAGTATTTGAGTTCCAAGAAATGGAGGTTTTTTTATTCGGCATGAATACTATTTGAGAATTGGACCTTTTTTTTTTAACCCAAAGTTGGGGAAATATAATTATAAATAAAATCTCCTCTGAGGTGCACCTGAAATTTATAGTTACAAATCAGTGCTGCCTCAACAACAACAAAAGAACAAGAACAAAAAACCCAGAAAATCTCTCCACGAACGTAGAAGGGAAGAAAACGATTTTATATTGAGCAAGCATTAAACCAGAATGTGATGTGCGTCCCAGACTGTTCCCTGAAGAGACTGCAAAGACAGAAAGAAATCTTCCTCTGTTGTATAGCTAAGCGGTTACAACACTTTACATCCATGTTTTCAAGATGAAATTGTTAGCTTTCTTGCATCTTCATGACTGGACGTAGGTTTTGCAATTTGTAGTCGGGTGACAAATCAGGCCCGTCTGCTCCTAGGAGTCGGGGAGATTGGGCATCATCTTTCTTGACATTTCAGAGATGCTCACAGGTTCTTAAGGAAACATTCCTGAGACGTGAGGCTGGCTAGGCTCATTTAGCTTTTACGAAGGTTCACATACACTGGAAGAAGTTGAGAAAGAAATTCTGAATAAAAGGGAGAAGGAAGGAGCCTCTTCCCTTTTTTTTAATGCTTCTTTTTGGGGGTGAGGAAGATTGACCACGAGCTAACATCTGTTGCCCATCTTCCTCTTTCTTCCCCCTCCCCAAAGCCCCAATACGTGGTTGTATATCCTGGTTTAAGTCCTTCTAGTTCTTCCATGTGGGATGCCGCCGCAGCATGGCTTGATGAGCAGTGTGTAGGTCCACGACCAGGATCCAAACTGGCAAACCCCGGGCCACTGACACAGAATGTGTGAACTTAACCACTGTGCCACTGGGCTGGCCCCTATTCCCTTTGTTTTCAACTAGGAGAATTAAGCCTCTTATTTTTAATTTGCCTTTACAACAAGTATAAACCTGGTACTTTGTATCCATTGCCAGGGATGCCCTTAGTCATTAGGCTATGTTGGAGTTAAAATAATGTCGTGGATCTCCATAGCCTCTTTGTCACTCGGAACTAAAAGTTCTTCTAACAGTTTTTGGTTTTGTCTGTTAGCTTACAGAAGTACTTCTGACAGTGTTTGTGTCCTATTGTTGATATTGTGTTTTTTCTTTTGTTTGGTATGGGACTTTATGGTAGTTGTGTGTTTTGGACTTCATGAGAGTGGGATTGAAATCTAGATAGTAATATTTGTAAAGTTAGTATCAGATTCTGTGACACATTATAATAAAATAAATGAGTTGGAAGTTTTCTCTTAGCAGTTGTGAGCATGCGCACTAGGCATCTGACTTCAGGTTCGTCAGCTGTCTGCTGTTCCACGCCTTTGTCTGAAAGGGTGCAGCCATATGCTGGATTTAGATGCTAATGGGGGTGAAGGTTGTTGGTTTATACTAAAACTTGACTGAGTGGTACGTGGCCTGTCTTTGTTTCACAGTTAAGTTAAAGGGACCTATCAAACAAGAGTTTGCCTGTTGGTAATTTAAGTTGTGGTCATCAATTAAAATTAGAAACCTTGACTGTTGGCTTTATATTATGAACATGAAATAAGGGGTCCTTGTACTTGGGATGTTAACTTTCTAATATGTCTCTCTGCGGAACTGTCTAGGGAAATAATTTGGATAACTTAGCAATAATTTTGTAATAGTAGAGCTGCATTCACTTTTAAAGGATTATCAGTTTATTATTTGGGTTGTGGTGTTTTTAGTAAAGAGGGGACTCTGCGTTAGGAAAGATGCAGCGCCTGACACATCAGGCCCCGTGGGTGTGTTGAATTTGTGTCTTAGTAGGTGGCAGTGCAGAATGGAGTGCAAGGTCAGAGTCCAGGTAGCTTTAGAAAGCAAGCTGACGGCCTAGAGATGGGAGGCCGCTCATGCGGAGCACCATATGGACCGACGTCGCGTTGAAGTGTTCCTAAAGCCAGCTTTTCCTGGGGAAAATGGAATTTAGTGCCAAGAGTTGTCCCTAATATCTGGTTGGACTGTACTAATACCTTTAAAAAAATTTCATTTGTATTAGAACATAACAAATACTAATTTTAAAGGGCAGCTCTTTCAGACATAAACTGTTTTCTTGACTCTCAATAGATAAATAAATTATTTTTTCAGGGATCTTATTCTCGTAAGTTAAATATGAAAATTTTGTCAAATAGGAAATTTCTTATAGTTGTTTTTTTAAAATGAGTTGTATGTTCTAAAATATTCTCTCTGATTGCTTTTAGGTTACCTAGGGTATGAATTAATACAGACTTGGAAACTGAAAGAACTTAGAATCAGCATTTTGAGGTAAATATGTACGTACTGAAGTAGTGTTAAGGTTTCCCCATTTTGCTTTGTTAACTGATTAGCAAAACAAATTTGTGTCTGAAATGAGAAAGTTCAACCTCCACGTGAATGTCCTTTAAACAACTAGACTAGATGTCGAGAAGAGACCACTGCCCATTTGCTCTTCCTGACCTTGTGGTAACAGAGGTGTTGCAGGAAGTTAATGAGCATAAATGAAACCTCGTGTCAAATCTAACAAAATCAACATCTGTTAATTAAATTAAGCATTTCATCTCGAGACTTTATGCTTCTTTAGTTTTTGATTTATAATCTCTGTTTGGAGAACCACTCTTAAATTTCCGTTTCTCCACAACGTTAACACCGTTGAGCTGTGTTGCTGAATTCTTTTATTTGTAAACAAATTCTGTAAAAGAGTTTATCGTGTGGGTTTAACTGGTGTTTGAGTTGTGTTTTTAATTTCATTTTGGGAAATTGGAATTGCTGGTGGATTTCATACACGTGTTGAATACTTATTACTAGTGATTTGGGTCTCAGCCAGGTCCCTCTTCTGATGGTTTTCTTTCTTTCTTTTGTATGTGTGAATTTAGGAAATAACACGTACTTATCCTTTGATTTATTTATTTTCTAGTTGCTATCTTTAGAATTTATTTACTTTGTTTGATTTCCTCGTATTCGTTTTGAAATCTTTTCCTGAACTTTTCTCCAGCTTTTTCTTTCTCCCAGATCTCTGGGAATTAGGCTTGCTATTGTTGCAGCCCGTTCTCGTGTTCTTTGTTTCATCCTAAAATAACCCAAATGTCCTTTGTTTGAAATTTAATATAAAATAATGGCCCGTATTCAACTCTTCTTATCAATAGGGCTCTTTTGTAGATGTGTTTATATTCTCTTTAATACAGGAGTCTTAAACTTGGCTATTTTTGCATTTATTTTTAGAGCAGAAGCTTGGGCATGCTGTGATTTTCCAAAAAAACTGCTATCACAATGTCAAAATGCAGTTCAGACAACAGCAACACAGAGATCTCAAACATTAAAACGGTAAAGCTGTGATTGATCATATGTGGGAAGAGGAAGAGAGTTTATTCGTGTGTTTTACCAAGTGATTTCTAAGTGAATAGTATGTGGAAGCTGTGAAACAACCTCAGCCATTTCATGAGTGTAAATTGTTTGACCGGAAATGTAAAGTCTGTCATTGAAAAGCAGTCACGTGGAGTTGCTGTGTTGGCTCTGCTGCAGCAGTTACCCATAGTCAGTTAAGCTATGAAACTGTAGAACTTTCACTTACCAGCAGGGATTCAGAGCTTTCATTTAAGGCCAAGTTAAGGGGGAAAAATCTGTTTAAACACGCCAAAGAAAGTAAAAATTGGCAAAATTATAGGGTTTTCTGTTTTCACGTTATTGGATTACCTGTTGAATTTTTTAATCTTGGATTTGCTTTCCCTGAATAGAAAGTATATTACTGATGCCAGGCACTGTATACTAAATGAATGAAAATGAATTTAAATATTCTGACCATATGGGAAATATAATTGGGAGGATCGAGTTACTGTCCTCCGTTTCCTTGCAAATCCTCTCCTGCACCCACCCCCACCCTTCAGGGTGAGTAGGAATGGGGTGGGTGTAAATTTCTAAACCAAATAGAAATATCTTTGGATTTTTTTTTTTGAATGATTCTGTTCTTTGCAATATCATGGGGACATCTATGAATCTCTCATTCAGTTTGTCAAATATTTATTTAAATATATGTATGGTACATTGTACCAGGAAATTTAGGAGCTGCAAAGAATGACACACATCTTGTTCTTTGGAGCATGTGTGGCAGTAAAAGAAAAAGGTGTGTATATACGTGTCTCTGTGAATATATTCAGCGTGATGTAAATTATGAAAGGTGCATAGAAGGTGTTTGAAGGTTTTTATGTCACTCACATGGATGCTGCTTTCACTCTACAAACCTACAGTGTGTGTTTGCGATGTCCAGGATGTGGTTTGGTACTGTGGATGACACAGATAAACTCAAGGAACTCCTTGTCTGTTTGGTCATATTTATTTATTTAATTTTGAAAATTCTTTGTCTGGAAATAATTTCAAACTTACATGAAAGTTTCAAGAATAAGAACAGGACAGGAATATGTGCCTTACCTCTTTGCCCCATTCGCTTTGTCGGTTGCACACACTCTCTCTCTGTGTCTACCTGTAGTTTCTTTTTTTGAACCATGTGAGAATAAGTTGCGTACATCATGGCCCTTTACCCCTAAACACTTCACTGTATGTTTCCTAAGAAGAAGGCTGTTCTCTTACGTAGCCATCATGCAGTTATTGGCTTCGGTGAACTCAACAGCGCTGTTGTCTACAGTTTTATCAGCGGACTCCGTAATGTCCTTAATGGCATTGTCCTGCAGTAGGGGACCCTGTCTGAGATCAGTTACTGCATTTAGTTGTCATGTCTCTTTATAGTCTTCTTTAGTCTGGAACATTTTCCTAGTCTTTCTTTGTATTTTATGATATGGATATTTTTGACGAATATAGTCACCCCCCTTTGAAAAAATAGAACATTCCTCTCATTTATCTTGTAGACTATGTTTCTGGAGTTGTCAATTATTATTATTACTGATATTATCTATACGAGGAGAAATGGTGGCAGTGGTAGGGAGGCGGGGATGCTGCTGCTTCTTGGCTGTATGTGGTTCTGGAGGGCGGAGGAAGATGTGTTTGGGGGTTTACGTTACTGCCCTCTTTTCTCCTTTGTTTTTTATTCCCATCCACCACCAGGATGTAGGCTTATTTCCTGATACCTTCCACCATGTCTTTGATTGGTGTTGGGTTAGCATTTGGGTTGGGTCAACAGTGAGGAGTGAGGCTTAAGGATAAATCATCCTTTAGTGAGCAGCCTGTAGAAATGGAGGAGGAGTGCCGAGGTATCGCAGGCGTGGTAGCCAGGTGGTGGGTGCCTGCAGATCTCAGCTGTGGGCCTTCACAGTGTTGCATCTCAGGAAAGTAGGTAAAACAGATTTCACTTCAGGTCCTTGACAGCTGTGCTGATTAAGAAGCTTGAATGACGAGCCTGAGGACATGCATCCTGTGGGCCTGCGGAACTGAGAAAGTGGATGCTAAGTGTGTAGTAAGAGGAGTGGCTGTTGGGCTCTGGTTCAGCAGAGACTGAGCAGATTAATTCTCATGGAGAACACAGTTTTGTCGGATCCAGGGGAAGTACTAATGTGATGGGCTTTCATACTGTACTCTGGAGTGCTGTGCCTGCCGTCTTCCTCGGAGAGGGTAATGAGAATTACAACCTGCCTGGTCCCCGGGCCGCCTGCCTTGCCAAGGCCCTTGGCTCCTGCAGCCGTTGGCTCCTGTACCACTTAGTTGAGATTGCACCTGTGTTAGCTGGATGTTGAATTCTTGTTACCTGAATTAATCTCTGAAATCAGAATTTGGTATTACGCCTCTGCATCAAAGGCTCTATACTGGACACTTCTTGTTGGATTAGATGCAGCAACTTAAAGGCACCGTGTTGTACCATGGGTATAAATTTAACATGTCAGGAGAATCCAAGTTTTTGTTGTCAAGGAACAAAGAGTGGGATTCTTTCTTTCCAGTTTCATAGAGTGATAACAATGAACACTCCGAAGCAGTACAAGGGAGAAAATTCCATTTACTGTGGGGCAAGTAAATTCTGCTGACAGTCAGGAAAGCTAATGACGGCCTTTCATGTAGAGATTTGAGACCCTAACCCCCTGTCTGCAGATTAGGAATTTTAAAAACACTCAGTTTTTATTTTATTTTATGTTATCAAATTTCTATTTAAAAAAGAATGCATGAAATACAGAAGAGTGCTTAGATACCGTGAAGAAACTTCCGTTTCCGGGAATGGTGAGCTTTGTTGTAGTTTGTCTGGGATATGTCTAGTTTTAGAGGTATGTATTTAAATAGCTGGTGAGCTGTGCAACTGTGATGGGTTGTCAATTGAGAAAAAGACCTTCCGTGTTTATGGTCTTTTGATACAATGACAAAATGATGGCAGGCATTTGAATCTTACCTGTGTGCAGGCACAGTGCTAAGTGCCTTCCTTACATTGTCTTATTATTTTATGAATAATAGCATCATAGAATTTATGAAGAATGTTTGAAATCTATTGATGTATGTATTTACCTGTTTTATATATATACCTATATATTTAATAAGGCATCATTCTATACATATTTTCTTTTAAAGGTATATTGTGGACGTGGTTCTGTGTTGGTAAATATAGATATGTATTATCTTAATGGAGTCAGAGTAGTCCCTTACATAGCTATACCATAATTTACTTAGCTAATTTTATTAATACACTTTAAAGTTGTTTTTTGTTCTTAAGTAATAATGCAATAAATGTTCATGTACTTATCTTCGTGCAGCTGTCTACTTCGTTTAGACAAGTTTCTAGGTGTGGAATTGCTGGGGTGGAGAGGATAGAATGCTTGACTTTTAAAATGATCCTCTTAGATCAAGAAAAAGCTGAAACAATTATAGGGAGAGTTTGAAAAGGCCCATAGGAATGATATTCTGATGTTTCTCTTGTTTCTGTACTCTCTTTTGTTTTTAACCCTGCATGGTTGTGTAATGGTATTCTTTTTCCCTTTTGTAGTAAGCTGTGCTAGAACAAAAATGCAATGAAAGAAACACTGGATGAATGAAAAGCCCTGCTTTGCAACCCCTCAGCATGGCAGGCCTGCAGCTCATGACCCCTGCTTCCTCACCAATGGGTCCTTTCTTTGGACTGCCATGGCAACAAGAAGCAATTCATGATAACATTTATACGCCAAGAAAATATCAGGTACTAATGAGAACACTAATACTGGAGCATTTTCACTAAAATAGAGTAAATTAGCAGAGAGTTGACACAATTTATATAAAACTCATTTACCTTTTCAAGCTTTCCTCTTCTGATTAATTTTCTCATGCCAAATACTTTTGTTCTTAGTAGTCTTTTTCTTCCCTAACATCTGCTGGGTAATTGATTTGATAGTTTTATTTGTGAAGTTTCTTACTTTTTTCCCTCTGAAACCTCACTGTCCCTTAATGTCCATTTGGATGTGTCTGTCCTCATGAGATGTGTCGGAATTGAGATTCGATTGAACAGTCCTGAACTGGCAGAACCACAGTTTCTGTGAATTTAGTCATTCATTTCACTCTAAAGAAGTATTCTGTCCATGCAAAATAAGTCTTACAGAAATTGTAAACGCCATTTCAAGGCTGTTTACACAACACAGCTAAATATAACAGGCATTTTAATGCCTGGATTATAATTCTTATATAAAGATATGGAAAGTATGTTTTTTGGGAAATTTATTGGAGGAAGATTTTAGAAAAAATGAAATCTCCTCAATTAGAACAAAATCCAGTTTTCTGAGTTTGGTACTTCGTTAAGAAGTGTGTAATCTTTCTTCCCACTGTGTCTTTAGGTTGAACTGCTTGAAGCGGCTCTGGATCATAACACCATAGTCTGTTTAAACACTGGCTCAGGGAAGACGTTTATCGCAGTACTACTCACGAAAGAGCTGTCCTACCAGATCAGGGGCGCCTTCAGCAGAAGTGGGAAAAGGACGGTGTTCTTGGTCAACTCTGGTAACGAAAAATTCTTTTCTCAAATTGTGTGCAGGAAATTGGATGAGATTTTATGATTAAGCATATTTTTCCTTTGGGTATTAAGTTAAATTATGAAAGTTTAGAGAGTTTGATGAGTAAGGTGCTTGTTGAAGCTCTGATAGGAGAAATATCATTTTGTTTTATTTCTTAACTTTATGCTATTTCTCTTAAATATTAACCATTTTATTTCTCAGGTATTAAACTTAAGCTTTTCTCTTAAATGTAATGGCATCTAATTCTTATTCTGCATTTCTTTACTTTGGGAACATAATCTAATCTGAGTTGTTGCAGTTGTTTTGTTTTCTTTTTCTTTCTTTCTTTTTTTTTTGCTGAGGAAGATTAGCCCTGAGCTAACGTCTGTTGTCAAATCTTCCTCTTTTTTTTTTTTAGATTTTATGTTTTTCCTTTTTCTCCTCAAAGCCTCCCAGTACATAGTTGTATATTCCTAGTTGTGGGTCCCTCCAGCCGTGGCATGTGGGATGCCGCCCCAGCGTCAGTCAATGAGCGGTGCCATGTCTGTGCTCAGGATTCGAACTAATGAAACACTGGGCCGCCTGCAGTGGTGCACACAAACTTAACTACTCAGCCACGGGACCGGCCCCCAAATCTTCCTTTTTTTTTGCTTGAGGAAGATTAGTCCTGAGCTAACATCTGTGCCAATCTTCCCCTACATTGTATGTGGGTTGCCATCACAGCGTGGCTGACGAGTGGTGTAGGTCTACACGCAGGATCTGAACCCACAAACACAGCCGCCAAAGGGGGGCCTGCCAGACTTAACCACCAGGCAGTGTGGCTGGCCCAGAGTTATTTTGTTTTTGACATTTTAGCTTCACAAAGTATGTCAAAAGGTGTTTGATTATGAGATAGGTAGCTTTTTGATTTATGGTTTTGCTATACCAGTTGTAGAAACAAAGTTAGATACGTCTTACAAGTTAAATATTCAGTAAGAGTTTAAGATACTGGTTTTTATGTGTTTGGGATTGTATACTAAGATAAAAAGCGTACCATGTGAACCTGAGCCGCTGGGGTACTAATATAATCGTGTTGCCCCTCTCCTTTTTTTTAGATTGTCTCAGCATGTGATGTTCTCATGTGCTTTAAATACGTATTAGACTGTCTTAACTTTTTAGTGAAATGATCTAATTTTATTGAAGAAAACAGGAGGGGTGGATCTGGAGGGGTTACCATTCCAGCCTAGGAGTTACCATCTTAGGTTGGTGACAATCAGCTGCAGAGGAGGAAGGTGGCGTAAGGTTCTCTGAAGGACAGAGGCAGGTGGTAAGTCTAGTAAGTGCATTTTGGAGGATAACCTTGGAAATATTTTAAATTGGCTATCAAAAAAAATTGATGATTAGGTGTAATATGTAATAATAAGGATTTCCTTAACTGTCTTAATCATTAGTAGTCCAGAGAGCCAACTGGCTAGGATTTCTCATATTTACATGGAGCACTATGTTTGTAATCAGCCAACCAGGTTGCTCAGCAAGTGTCAGCTGTCAGAACGCATTCGGATCTCAAGGTTGGGGAATACTCAAACCTAGAAGTCAATGCATCTTGGACAAAAGAGAAATGGAACCAAGAGTTTACTAAGCACCAGGTAAGACTTGTAGAGAAACTTCACTTCATAAATTCCTGTAGGTCGTTGACGTGGTTTATAAGATGACCTGTGGCCTTGGTTATCTGAGTTAGGATTGAAAACTCTACTTTCCTGTGCCTTGTCAGCCTACAAACCAGCCCTGATATGCTCTTTCTCACTTTAGCTCATCCTAAACCAAATAAATGATTGATTTATGTTGCTCTTACTTCATGGAAAAGAATCACCTTTACCATATGATTTACTTGCTTGAAAAACACAAATTTCCACAACCTGTTTCCAGCTTGTAGATAACCTGCTTTCGGAAAATTTACCCTTGAGTCAAATGTCTTGAAACTGGAGAGGTTCCTTAGTTGAGATCTTTGGTCTTTGACGCAGACTTCCTCTAACTTACACGTTTCCGTCTAGCCAGCATGCGTTGAGGGCCTTTTGTGGGTCGATGTTGGTGGATCTGGAGTGGTGAAGAGATGCTTCCTCACCTTAAGCAGTCCGCAGTCTACTGGTGTGTCTCACAGACTGCCTTAAGTCCTCTTTAATAAAGCACGTAAATGTCCACAGAGTGACAAGCTGTAAGAAGAACATTCGGTTTGTGTCTTCTTCCAGGAAACCAGTTGGTTCAAGGGGAAAAAAAAGGAAAAAACAGTGTGAATTGTTTTGTGATTTGATTAAATTGACAGGTCTCATCAGTCAAAATAGGCTGTAGAAACCTGAAAACCTGAAAGAGATTTAGTAGATTTATCATAAAACATGGTCTCCATCATCAAGAGTTTTTTGTCATGGTCTGTTTCCACATTTTCCTAACTCTACTTCTTGATTCCAACATATGAGCTTCCATATGTTTAGAATTTTTAAATTTTGACTAATGAATTTCTTAATCCTGACCTACAATGCAGTGGTTCTGTAATGTGATTTCATGTAAGTGCGTCTAGGCAGGTGAATGGCATGTTTTGTGTGCTGATATCAGTTTTGTTTTAGGTTCTTGTTATGACTTGCTATGTCGCCTTGAATGTTTTGAAAAATGATTACTTATCACTGTCAGACATTAACCTCTTGGTGTTTGATGAGTGTCATCTTGCAATCCTAGATCACCCCTACCGAGAAATTATGAAGGTAAGTTTTTAGATTTTGTCAGTCTTAATTCAGATCAAATTACTAAGTACAAGCAGTATTTTTATATATCAAAAACAATAGCATTAGTTACCAATTTTGTGAATGTGGTTCCAGAGTATGAAAAATAAATATTAATGTTCCTTTAAATCTGTAATCTATATAATAATAAAGTATAATAAATAATCTATAATATCTAAATCTATAGTAAAATTTTAAACATAAATAAATGAATTATGTAATTTGTCATGAATGAATTACATAATAATCTGCCATAGCGTATTTAAATGTGACTTTTTGATAAACAGATCTTTTAAACGAGCTACAATAATTCCATAAGCAATATTTTTAGTATTGTCAGTCTTTTTGACCTGTTTTAATATGGTAATGTCTCTTTTGTTATGACCTTGCGAAATGAATTCCTTACTGTCAGTATCTTTTATTATGTTAGCTCTGTGAAAATTGTCCATCATGTCCTCGTATTTTGGGACTAACTGCTTCCATTTTAAATGGGAAGTGTGATCCAGAGGAATTGGAAGAAAAGATTCAGAAACTGGAGAAAATTCTTAAGAGTAATGCTGAAACTGCAACTGACCTGGTGGTCTTGGACAGGTATGCACTACAATTGACTGGAGGTATGCACTACATGTGACGTGGTGGTCTTGTACAGGTATGCCCTACGATTGACATGGTGGTCTTGGACAGATACGCTCTACAGTTGACTTGGTGGTTTTGGACAGGTATGCTCTACAATTGACTTGATGGTCTTGGACAGGTATACTTTATGATTGCCATGGTGGTCTTGGACAGGTATGCTCTATGATTGACGTGGTGGTCTTGGACAGGTATACTCTACGATTGACGTGGTGGTCTTGGACAGGTATACTCTACGATTAACATGGTGGTCTTGGGCAGATATGCTCTACGATTGACATGGTGGTCTTGGACAGATACGCTCTACAGTTGACTTGGTGGTTTTGGACAGGTATGCTCTACAATTGACTTGATGGTCTTGGACAGGTATACTTTATGATTGCCATGGTGGTCTTGGACAGGTATGCTCTATGATTGACGTGGTGGTCTTGGACAGGTATACTCTACGATTGACGTGGTGGTCTTGGACAGGTATACTCTACGATTAACATGGTGGTCTTGGGCAGATATGCTCTACGATTGACATGGTGGTCTTGGACAGATACGCTCTACAGTTGACTTGGTGGTTTTGGACAGGTATGCTCTACAATTGACTTGATGGTCTTGGACAGGTATACTTTATGATTGCCATGGTGGTCTTGGACAGGTATGCTCTATGATTGACGTGGTGGTCTTGGACAGGTATACTCTACGATTGACGTGGTGGTCTTGGACAGGTATACTCTACGATTAACATGGTGGTCTTGGGCAGATATGCTCTACAATTGACTTGGTGGTTTTGGACAGATATACTCTATGATTGACTTGATGGTCTTGGACAGGTATACTTAGGATTGACTTGATGGTCTTGGACAGGTATACTCTATGATTGATGTGGTGGTCTTGGACAGGTATGCTCTACGATTGACTTGATGGTCTTGGACAGGTATACTCTACGATTGACGTGGTGGTCTTGGACAGGTATGCTCTACGATTGACTTGGTGGTCTTGGACAGGTGTGCTCTACGATTGACTTGGTGGTCTTGGACAGGTGTGCTCTACGATTGACTTGGTGGTCTTGGGCAGGTGTGCTCTGCGATTGACTTGGTGGTCTTGGGCAGGTGTGCTCTGCGATTGACTTGGTGGTCTTGGGCAGGTGTGCTCTGCGATTGACTTGGTGGTCTTGGGCAGGTGTGCTCTGCGATTGACTTGGTGGTCTTGGGCAGGTGTGCTGTACAATTGAGGTGGTGGTCTTGGACAGGTGTGCTCTATGATTGACTTGGTGGTCTTGGACAGGTGTGCTGTACGATTGACGTGGTGGTCTTGGACAGGTGTGCTCTACGATTGACTTGATGGTCTTGGACAGGTGTGCTGTAGGATTGACATGGTGGTCTTGGACAGGTGTGCACTATGATTGACTCAGCTTTAAGGAGACTAGCCATAACTGATTTTAAGCCTGAGGCTCTTTCAAGGTGCCTTGCAGGTGGTACCTGTTTAAGTGAACAAACAGCTGTTAGAAAGAATGAGCAAGACTAAGAATCCTTTATCAGGACAGTTACCCGTGAATATAGGAACCTAAGGTTGTTTCCACAGAAAGGAGCAGATGGAAGTGTTTCTGCCTGGAGAGAATATTGCATTAGCGTCAGCCTTTTCTGTTTGCTGATGTTGACAGGGACTGGGAGTTTGGACAGTAAATTTGTGTCCTTTTCTGTCAATGTGTGTGCTTTGTTGTTCTGACCTAAATGTCCCACATGATGCTTTGAAAGAACATTAAGTTGTGTAGAGAATTCAATGTTTTACAGTGTGCTTTAAAATAATTGGAAGCAACCTGTAGTTTTGAAAATGGTGTAAATTTCTGAGAAAGGTGTTGTTTATGATTTCTAGGTTTGTCTCCTTTTGAGGAAGTTGCTATTTTGAGTTTCCTTAAAATGCACACATAGCACATACACAACCTTTTTGATTTAAGTTAGTGGAAGGGAACCTATATAACTTAGGTTTTAAAATAAATGTAATTACTTTGATTCCTATTAAAATACCCTTATATCCTTATTAGATACAGTCTTTAACAAGGCTAACGAGTACCAAGTGGTAGTTCTTGGAACAGTTATAATAAACAGAGAAGAGTGACTTCTTGGCTTATGGAATTAACTCAGACGTTGGTTTTGAATGCTGGCTCCACTCATTTGAGCTGTGTGACTTCAAGTGAGTCATTTACTGTCCCTGAACCTTTAAAATGGTGTTGACAGTCGTTTCGGGGATTCTTTGATGGTCAGTTACATTTACACATGGAAAACACCTTGCAGTGCGCCTGTCATTTGGTAGGAATTTGGGAAAAGCTGTCTTTGTAGCATGGGAAGAAAAGGTAATATTTTTGATTCATGGAACTTAGGTATCCAAATGCCAAATGAAAGACCAGTCCCGTCGCCCTTAGGACATGCTGTTTCTGACTTCCCTGGGCCCACACCGTCTGTGACGTACAAGTCCAAGGCTGTGCTTTTGCTTTATCTGGCCTGAATCAGGTTGCCAGCCCGGCAGTACTGGAGGTCTTCAGGAGCAGGAGAGGTGTTAGAGCATTTCAGTAAAACTGATCAGTAACGTGTTGAATTTGGCGTTACCTAGTTCTCTAAACGTGACTCTTAAAGTATAAATTCCAGCTGAGAGTAATGAAAACTATAGTATTTAAATATGTCTTTACTGTATTTTTTTCTTTAGTTAATCATTGTATTAATTAGAATATTATGTGCCACGCTCATTGTCATAGTTCATGGAAGGCATGACAGATCCAAGGAATGATATCATAATGGATTGAAAGTTGGGAGAGCTTTCCTTACAAGGACTTGTTAAAAATACGTTAAAAATAAAATTAATATGTGCAAATGCTAAAAGTTTCCAATAGTATGGAAATGGATAAATTTAATAATACTTTTCCTCTATGATCTGTCCCCCCATCCCTGTTTCTGCTTCTGAGAAGTAATCATTATTGAGTTTCTTGAGTATTTTGACTGACATTGTTCCTCATTCTGCCTGATGCCTAATGGGACAAGAGATGGAAGTCTGAATCTGAAAAACAAAACAGAAAACCTGGGATGATAATGAAATCAGAAAAGTCACAAAATTCTTTGATTGTCAGCCTTAAGCAGTCATTCCTTGAGACCTAACAGGCAAACACAGCACAGAGTGCCACTTTAGGAAGGCTGGTTGTGACCTGCCTGTGTCCCAGGGAGGTATGCAGACTGAAAATAGGAAGTTTTTTTTGGTTTGGCTATGTAATGGATCATAATGCTGTAGTGAATGTATTGTGGTATTGACAACTTTTGTTTCTATGTTAAAGATACACTTCTCAGCCATGTGAGATTGTGGTAGACTGTGGACCATTTACTGACAGAAGTGGGCTTTATGAAAGACTGCTGATGGAGTTAGAAGAAGCACTTAATTTCATCAATGACTGTAACATATCTGTACATTCAAAAGAAAGAGATTCTACTTTAATTTCTAAACAGGTAAGCATATACAAAGGAAGTATAGAAAGTATAATAAAAGGTTTCTGTTTATTTTTAATATTGAAATAAAAATATGCTTCTAATGAGGCTACTTTCTGTAGATTTTAGTTTAAGGCCTTGCCTTCTTATGTCTTTGGACATTTTTCGTTGAACGTTTCATATGGGGTAGAGTTTACTGTGACCTGACAGACATTTATATTATAAAGTATAGACCTCCCAGATTTAAGGAGATGAGTTAGGATTTATGGTATGGTTATTTAAGTATAAAGAGTGAGTCCTTTTTTTCTTCTTCTTGGTCAGATGGGTTAGTTCCTGCTCAAACCCTCGGGCTAGACAAATGCCTCTGCTGTTTTCTTGTATATAAGTAGATATGAGCCTGTCCTCCCTGAGTGGTACAGCTTTGAGAAGAGATCCCTTAGGACAGTGGTCCTTAAAGTGTGGACTGCAGATCAGCAGCATCAGCATTCCTCTGGGACTTGTTAGAAATGCACATTGTGGACCCCACCCTTGACCTGTGTCGGAAGCTCTGGGGTGGGGTCCAGCTGTCTGAGATTTGACAAGCATTCCAATTATCTTGATGCATTAAAACTTGGGAGCTGTTATTGTAGGACTTTGCACCCGTTTGTCAATGTTAACACTGTATTGAGTCTGAGGCTTAATTTCTCTCCTGCTGATTTTTTCTGGAGCAGCAATGCCCAGACTCTCCTCTGCCCTTGAATTCTCATTAAGTCCATAGTCAACCCTTTTACTTGCCTGCAGAACTGGCGATTCCTCAGTTTTAGCCTCGCTTTGGATTTCCATTCTGCTCTGAGCTAGGGTTGTAGGTCCCGGCACTCTGGATGTAGATAAAGTTCAAGGAAAATTGTCTTCCTCCTCTTTGATACCTAAAGTAAAATTACTCCTCTACATAATTTCTTGCATATTTACCTGGAAGTCAGTGACTCAGTTGTACTTCTAACTAATCACAGATCTAAAATTAAGTTTTATTAACCTTATACAATTGCATCTTTTAATTTCTGTTATTCGATTATTTTTGCTGAAAACAAAAGGATGGTTCTGGGCACATATATATGAAAAAGTAGAGCTTGAAAAGGCCACTGGCCTCTCTCCCCAACCTTGGAGAATTAACCTCAGTGTTTATATTAGTAGGATACATTTATTTTGAAGGGCCAGATTGAAGACAGCTTAAATCCCGATTAAACCCCATATGAAAATGCTACATGGTTATTGTTTAGCATTTGGCTCTTTACGTTTTTTTGTAGATCCTGTCAGACTGTCGTGCGGTATTGGTGGTTCTGGGACCCTGGTGTGCTGATAAAGTGGCTGGAATGATGGTAAGAGAGCTACAGAAGTACATCAAACATGAACAGGAGGAGCTGCACAGGAAATTCCTACTGTTTACAGACACTTTCCTGAGGAAGATCCACGCACTCTGTGAAGAGCACTTCTCACCTGCCTCACTTGACCTGAAATTTGTAACTCCGAAAGTCATAAAACTGCTTGAAATCTTACGCAAATATAAACCATATGAGCGACAGCAGTTTGAGAGCGTTGAGTGGTATAATAATAGGAATCAGGATAATTATGTGTCTTGGAGTGATTCTGAGGATGATGATGAGGATGAAGAAATTGAAGAAAAGGAGAAGCCAGAGACAAATTTTCCTTCTCCATTTACCAATATTTTATGCGGAATTATTTTTGTTGAAAGAAGATATACAGCAGTTGTCTTAAACAGGTAAATCTCTAAGATTAACGCTTTTTTCTGCAGTAGAACAAGGCAGCTTTCTGTTTTGTGAAGTGATGTGCTGTAGTAGCATTAAGAGCTAGCGGAAGGGTTATGTAAGTGTCCTTCACTCGGCACTATCATAATTCAAGTGTAATGCTGTGCTGGGGTTCACAGAAAGGACGTTTACGTATGCAATAGCTTTTCCAAAAGGCTAGATTTGACATGACTGAGAGTCTTGTCTTTTTTTTTTCCCTCCCCAAAGCCCCAGTGCATAGTTGTATATCCTAGTTGTAGGTCATTCTAGTTCCTGTGTGGGATGCTGCCTCAGCGTGGCTTGATGAGCGGTATGTAGGTCCACCCCCAGGATCTGAACTGGCCAATCCCAGGCCACCAAAGCAGAGTCCGCGAACTTAACTACTCAGCCACGCGACTGGCCCAGATTTTTTCTTAAAGGATGCTAATCTATTCTAATCCATCTAAAATAGAGAGCAAGGATAGATGAACTAAGTTAGATTAAAGTAAAGCATCTCTTGTTTTGTATTCAGTTGTTAGATTCAGTTCAGATATTTACTCAGCTGTGACTGTGTGTTAGGCATTGCATTAAGCGTTTCACACCAAGCTTTCTCCTTCAGGAAATCTTAGGATAAATTTCATCTGGGTATTATTATGGCTAGTTGTTTCTTTTTTTTGAGGAAGATTAGCCCTGAGCTAACTACTGCCAGTCCTCCTCTTTTTTGCTAAGGAAGCCTGGCCCTGAGCTAACATTCGTGCCCATCTTCCTCTACTTTATACATGGGTCGCCTGCCACAGCATGGCGTGCCAAGCGGTGCCATGTCTGCACCCGGGATCCGAACCGGCGAACCCCAGGCCGCCGAGACGTGGAACGTGTGAACTTAACTACTGTGCCACCGGGCCGGCCCCAGCTAGTGTTTTTTTTTTAATTGAGGTTATGATAGTGTACAACCTTGTGAAATTTCATCTGTACGTTATTGTTTGTCAGTCACAGTATAGGTGCGCCCCTTCACCCTTTGTGCCCACCCGCCTCCCTCCTTCCCCCTGGTAACCACTAAATAGTTCTCTTTGTCCATGTGTTTGTTTATCTTTGTGTCTAGTTGTGGGGGTTTTTTTTTTTTTTTGAGGAAGGTTAGCCCTGAGCTAACATCTGCTGCCAATCCTCCTCTTTTTGCTGAGGAAGACTGACTCTGAGCTAACGTCTGTGCCCATCTTCTTCTACTTTATATGTGGGACGCCTACTACAGCATGGCTTGCCAAGTGGTGCCATGTCCGTTCCTGGGATCTGAACCTGCGAACCCCGGGCCACCAAAGTGGAATGTGTTCACTTAACTGCTACGCCACCAGGCCAGCCCCTGTGTCTAGTTTTTTTATGTTAGCTTTTTTTCCTTAACAAATGTTTATTCAAGTTTGCAGCGGAAAAAGCGGAAAAAGTTTAGAACAACTGGATTTGCAGTTTGGATTGGTTCATAGACCACATATTAAAATTTTCTGAATCAGAAGAGAATAAAAGTGTTAGGGAAGAATTCCGAGAATATTGGCAAAGGTGATAATGAATCCAAATTAGGTTGTGGATTTCCATCCCTCCCCCTCCTTTGACAGAAGTTTATGTTTCCTGAATGCAGACCTAGCCAAAGAGCTAGACCTCACATTTGTGTCCGGTGGTCACTTAATGTATGGTCCTTTTGGTTTGTGGCTAGATGCTCTATTTTTTATAAGGGCAAAAAAAGCGCCCTTATTTTATACTTCAGACCATCTGATTTTCTACGAGATCCATTAATTGGCAAAGTTGATCACTAAGAGCCTTTTCTGCAAGTAGTGATCTCGGAGGAGAAATTAAGCTTTGTTTCCTGAGGCAATTTGAGATTTTTTTTCTAAACTGCTTCTGACTGTTTTGGGGCTTTGAAAACCTACTTGAGTAACGAGAAATTGGACTCTGGGGTAGTCATCTGGCGGTGTTCAGTCTTGTAATTTTCCTGGTCCTTGGGCCTGATCCTTATGATGAATACAGACTAAAATAACTTTAGGTGGTGAATTACACTGGAATCACAAGTTTAAGATTGGAAAGGGGCTTCTCTGACTACCTAATCCAACAACTTATTTTTATAAAAATGCGAAGGGGCCTCAGGAGGAAAAGTGATTTGCCCTGAGTTAAATTGCTAGTCAATGGCAGAGACAATTCTAGAATCCTGATATCCTGCCTCCTAGTTTCCAGTTCTCTCTACAATCATAATGCCCTGAGCGTCACTGAACACGGCCCTGTGCTTTCCGGTGGAAGACTGCCAGGAGACAGACCAGGGAGCATGACTGTCGGGACCATTTCTTAGAATGGGGGAAAGGCATTTCAGGGGTCAGAAAAGTTGCGTATTGGCGCAGTGCTAAGCTCGTTATAGACATATTCCCTGCCCCCATACAGGATGGTTTAAGAATTAAATAAATGTTCTGGGCCTTGAAGAGGAGGAATGGAGTTTCTTTTCTTCCTTTCCGTTCTTCTCTGTATGTTTTTTTAAGGTTTATCAAAAATCAATCAGTTACTTTCTGTTGACTTTGAGGATCAGATTAATTGTGATCAACTTTCATAAAATGTGGCTGGAGTTTAGTGTTGGAGGATGAATCTGGAGCAGTTTGAGAGCTGACTTTATGGGCAACTAATTAAATATACAATAGAGGTCTTGTTTCAGTAAGCTTTTTAATAAGCTTAGAAAAACTTCCAGAAATCCAGATTCTTTCCTTCCATCAATTTAATGGGAGGAAAACCCCTTCTTCAGTGAAGTTTCATGGGAGTGTAAGCTATTGTAATACACGGGGAGTTTTCTGCTCTCCTAACAAAAAAAATAACAGCTACTTCTATATAAAATGTTGGATCGTATATAGTCTTAGGTTTATTGTTTTCCTTTGCCTTATATGCAGAGGGCTTTATGGTTTTTAATTTACCTATATATATTTTTTTAAATGTCACAACACTCCACAAAGGAGTAAGGTAGAGATTTTTCCTATATTATAGATGAGGAAACTAAGACTCAGTTTGTGACCCTCCCAAATGACACAGCTACCAAGTGGTTGGAAACACCCTCCGCCCTCCAGGTCCAGTGCCCTCTCACTGTGTCGTTCACTAGTGTTGTGACGTTGGCGTTGGACAAACCTGGGTTCACACCCTACCTCTACTCCCCCCTTTTTTTTCCTAATAACTTTTTATTTGGAGATAATTTTAGGTTTACAGGAAAGTTGCAAAATAGTCCAGAGTTGCCCTTGACCGCCCTCTGGTTTCCCGCATCTCTTATGATGATAAGATCTTAGGTTATCCTGGTGCATTTGTCACAACCAAGAAACTAACATTGATGTATTACTGTTAACTAAACTCCAGCGTTTATTTGAATTTTACCAGTTTCTCCATTAATGTCCTCTTTTTAATCCAAAGTCCTGTATTGCGTGTAGTCGGTATGTCTCCCTGGTCTCCTCTGGGCTATTAGTTTCTCGGTCGTTGCTTGCGTTTCGTGGCCTGGGCGGTCTTTAGGCGTCCTGGTCAGGTATCTTATTAGGACGTCTCTCAGTTTCAATTTGTCTCGTGTTTTCTCAGGAGTAGACTGGGGTAGTGGGATTTGGAAGAATCCACAGGGCTGAAGTACCCTTCTCGTCCCCAGGGATTCATAGTATCGACATGACGTATCAGTGGTGATATTAGACCTTGCCACCTGGCCCGGACAGTGTTTGCCTGGTTTCTCTGCTGTGAAGTTACTGTTTTTCCCTTTCCTTCCTGTGTTCTTTGGAATGAGTCACCAAGTCTGGCTTATCCTGAGAGGGAGAGATTAAGCTCCATTCCTGGAGAGCGATGTATCTGTGTGTATTAGTGGAATTCTTTGTAAGGAAAACTTGCCTCTTTTATCCTATTTATCTATCTATCTTTTTTTTTTTTTGAGGAAGATTAGCCCTGAGCTAACATCTGCTGCCAATCCTCCTCTTTTTGCTGAGGAAGACTGGCCCTGAGCTCACATCCATGCCCATCTTCCTCTACTTTATATGTGGGATACCTGCCACAGCATGGCTTGACACGTGGTGCCATGTCCGCACCCGGGATCCGAACCGGTGAACCCCATGCTGCCAAACTGCTGTGCCACTGGGCTGGCCCTTTTTTTTTTTTTTTTTTTTTTAAGATTGGCACCTGAGCTAACAACTGTTGCCAAACTTTTTTTTTTTTTTTCCTGCTTTTTCTCCCCAAATCCCCCCAGTACGTAGTTGTGTATTTTTAGATGTGGGTCCTTCTAGTTGTGGCATGTGGGACGCCGCCTCAACATGGCCTGACGAGCGGTGCCATGTCTGCACCCAGGGTCCCAACCAGCAAAACCCTGGGCCTCCGAAGCAGAGCAAGTGAACTTAACCACTCGGCCACAGGGCTGGCCCCTATCTATCTATTTATATTTACTGAATCATGTTCTTTTATCAGTATGGTCTCCTGTTTGTTTAGTTTATACTTTGGGTTATAAACTAATACTAGGTTATTGACTTTGTTGTTCAAATTGTTCCTCCTTGGGCCCTGGGAGCTCTTTGAGGTTAGCTCCTGTGTCCCTTTGGCATACTCTCATCCTTTTGCTTTTTGAGCACTTCTTTACTTTTTGGTGCCACGAGATGTTCAAGGTTCTTGTATTTTCCCTGCTCTAGCCATAGAGTCAGCCATTTCTCCAAGGAGCCCTGGATCCTTTTATTTCTACCCACTTTTAGATGTATATTTTGCGAAAGTTATTTAAGTTTTTAAAGACTGAGCATCTTCATCTGTAAAATAGTAGTAATACCTCCACCTCTTATTGGGTTGTTAATAAGAGACAATGTATATATAAATGCCTGTCTTATCACCTGACACACAGTAGGTGCTAATTTCTTGGGTTCTTTATGCACACATTCGGGGGATACAGTATCAGTATACTATAATATCAGCAATAGTCTTTTGGTAAGATTATAGAGGAATTGCATTTGTTTTTCTCACATTGACAAGAAAATATAAGTAGGAAGGATACTATTAAAGGTGTTGTTGATAGCATACTTTGGTACCTGGCAGAGATTTCAAATGATGCTTGTCTATTTGAATTTTTTTTCCTTTAGGGTTAACTGTGTAAATTACCACATTTAATCAAATCACAAGTTTTGGTAGTAATCTGCTAGTTTTCTGAATCGGGCGTCCATGTTTCCTGTTTTGGGCCATGCCATTTTCGATGTAGTTGGGGAGGCAGTGTGCATTTACACCCAGCGTCAGCTGTGGGCCGTGCCAGCTGCAGAGAGTTAGGCACAGACGCTGAGGGTAAGCATCTAGAAACTCTTAGTTTGGACAGTAGCTTTTGTCTGCTGAATGTAATACAGTTGGTGCCTGGATTTTGATGCTTTTTTAGTTTCATTTTCTAAATGGTTAATTTGGTTTTTGATGGATTTGAAATTAGAAAGAAAATAACCAGTTCTTCGCTACAGCTAGTTTGAGAAGCTCCGTGCACTGGAGAACAGTGTGGTTTATCACACAGCTCACTTGTGGAGCAGCTCCCCTAGACTCACTGTAGAAATGAAAAGAAACCAGCCTTTGCCCCACCAGCCCTGTGGTCCCAGGAGCTCCAGGAGCAGTTGGTGTCGCTCCCTCGTCAGCTCCCGACAGCCAGGGACTGCATCTTCTTTCTCGGGAAGCCTCACTCTTCGTCGTGGGCACGTGATTAGGCAGTGCTTAAACTGATCTGACAGAGAAATAAAATTCTCTCTAAACGCTATCAGCAATGCCCATTATCTTACTAGTATTCGCTGCCTGCGAAGCAGCACTAGGACTATCCTTACTAGTCATAGGTATATAGCATTTAATTGTTGTTTACAAGAGGCTTTGCTTGTTTATGTGCCTGCTACTGCTTCTGTTCTCTGCATGTTGCTGTGGGTTTCATTAAGGAGAAATAAATCCGCTCTGCTTCCGTTTCTCAGCTAACTGAAGTCTGCCAGATCCTTTTGGCAAAGTAAAATACATTCTTTGCCTAATTAGGAGTAACTTGAAAGGCATTTCTGTTACATTCAAATTGGTGCCTATTTACATAAGCTAAAATTTGGAAGTACAAATTATTTCTAAGATAATTTCATATTTTAGGTTTTTTGGCGTGCTATTTGCTTGTAACACTGCTTTCTGTTACTGACATCATAAGTTTATTATAATAATTGAACAAAGCTTGGAACATATGAAGGAAGTTCTGATTCTGGACGTTTTAAGTACTTGAATTGTAGAACAGACTCTCAAACTAACCTTACATGTGCACGTGTTTTGCTGATTGGGAGGCAAGAAGATATGCTAGATGGCCACTCAAGGTTTCTTCAAGTTCTTTGATATTAGTCTGTTTAATGTATTTAAAAAAAAATGATTTGACTTAAAAATGCGATTTTCTATTAGGAATTTATACTATGCTATATGACTTCAGAAGAACCATATGGAATCACTCATGGCAGGTGTGGAACCATTTATCCTGTGTGCTGAGTTTTTGAACGTGGATATTTCCAAAATAGCTGTAATGGCAGCACTAACTGTTCACCCTCCGTACCTGGGTAACATGATCCACCCCGGAGCTCTTTCCCATCTCTTAGCTGGGAGCCGGCTTTAGGTTGCCAGCATTCTGCCTCAATACAGAGGAGCAGGCAGGAAGGGGAACGAGTCGGGAGCCGCTTCTCCTTCAGGGCAGGATGGGGTGGGGGCTGTCTGGCATTGCTAGGCCAGGAGCTCAGGCTAGTGTTAGATAGAACTGTGGTCAGTGGCCTGGGGACAGGAAAGTGGTGGGAGGGGAGATCTTACCAATAGAGGTGACGTTTCTTTCCCTAGAACTCTGCTTCCCGTGATTCAGGGTGTTGGGGTAAGACTAAAAGAAGTAACCAGGCTTCTTTTCACGCACAGCTAGAATCTCTTACTGCATGTAGAGGGAGAGTGAGGTTTCCTTTGCTGTGGGAATTCTCCCTTTGGCGTCAGGGCGTTTGGTACATACTCTGTATGAGAGTGACCGTGGAGAGAAGGGCGTGCCTGCTGCACAAGTTGTGTGTGCATTTAGAGACGTGCTCCAACTTTTAGAGAAGCGTGTGTGGCTTTTGTCGTTAGAAGTCCTGGCCTAAAGCCAAGATGTGTGAGGAATCTGTGTTTCTCTCTGCCTAGCCCTGTCCCCTCCTGGGCCACATTTCTATTTAGTCAGCACTGCCCAGTTAGGAAGGTTGAGGGGCTGTGAGCATTTCATTCATCAATGTAAGTCAGCCCTGTGCTTGGTGTTAGTGTTTGGGCCGCAGATCTGAGCAGGGAAGAGCGGCAATGATCTCTGTTTAAGCTGGTTGGGAAAAAAATACCGAGACCATTTTGTTAGGTATGTGGCAAAAAATGCATGTATTATCATTTTAAGGGAGACCTTACAAACAAAAGTTTAAATTTTTTTCCCTCAGCAGTGCTTAACTTCCAAATGTGTATAATTTTCTTAGATTGATAAAGGAAGCTGGCAAACAAGATCCAGAGCTGGCTTACATCAGCAGCAATTTTATAACTGGACATGGCATCGGAAAGAATCAGCCTCGGAACAAACAGATGGAAGCAGAATTCAGAAAACAGGAAGAGGTAACTCGAGTTAAAAGAATTGTACGATAACAATTTTCAGAGCATATACAGACAAACTCCACCCCTAGGAGCTCCCTTTCTTCGTAGTTCCTCAGCGTTTTTTTGTAATACAGAATACTTGTTCATACGTTGACTAGCTGTCTCCTGTGAGCTAGCTGTGTAAGGAATCACGTGTTCAGAATTAGAATAACTGTTTGGTAAGTCAGTTTTGTGTCATAATTATCAACCATTTCATTTTCCTTTATTGGACTGATGGCACACAACTACATTTCAGAGAAAATCAAAGCTTGTGTAAGCGTAACTCCCACTGACTCTGTATAACTCAGAGGCCACAAACTGAAATCTTTTCCTAGAAAGTGTTTCGTTTTCTATTTAAAGTTCTACCTTGGTTGAATACTATAAAAATAACACTATATTTTAAAGATGTTGGTTTAACTTTTTTCATTGTTTTTAAGGCTAAAACCTAATATAGTCTTCTGGCTTGCAAACGAAAACTTATTTAAAGTTTGTTATTGAACTTACAAAGTAGCAGAATGATTCATATTGAAGTTATTTTCTATGTTGCAGCTTTCTGATGCTCCACGTTTGAGGGGTTCAATAGCCAGAGTCTGGATTTGTTTAAAAATCAACTTTATTATTTAACTTTATTTTGGTTTGGTAAATGATATTTTAAATCTAGTATGAAACAAGTTTTCACTTCATTTTTTAATCAATTCTGATTTCCTTAAATTGAAAATGTCCCAGGATGCCAGAAAATAAGTTACAGCTTGCTTGTAATTTTTAATTCCAAGTGATTGGGGGATGTTAGTAAGTTTGGACATCTTTGGAGATATGTTGGCACCTCTCATAGACATAGGGTGTCATATGGAGGGTCATAATGTCAATAGGACTCCAGAAGTGGATTCATTTGTTCACTTTGTTGATTAGATTCTTTTGTGGTCAGTAAGAAGTCAGCCCCTTTAGCCTGAAGGCTTTCTGCGACTTGTACCTGGGTCCTTCTTAGAGTAGAAAGGCACCTTGATTTTTCCGGTCACATTCAGTTGAAAATTATCATTAAATCAGTTTCTTTGCCGATGTGTTTATGCATCTTGAGTTTTCTATGATGTTGTCATCTTCTTTAGCCTGGCCTTAAAGATTTTGCATGCCCAGAGCATGCATCAGAAATGACAATTGTCACTTATTTCTACTATATTGTTTTCTTTGGAAAATTTCTTAGAATTGCTTTTCTTGGTGGATTTTTTTTCAGGTACTTAGGAAATTTCGAGCACATGAGACCAACCTGCTTATTGCAACAAGTATTGTGGAAGAGGGTGTTGATATCCCAAAGTGCAACTTGGTGGTTCGTTTTGATTTGCCCACAGAGTATCGATCCTATGTTCAATCTAAGGGAAGGGCAAGGGCACCGATCTCTAATTATATAATGTTAGCAGATACGGACAAAATAAAGAGTTTTGAAGAAGACCTTAAAACGTACAAAGCTATTGAAAAGGTAAGATTTAAAAATTAATATGCTATCTTTATTTTCTATTTGCCTAGAAATAGATAAAAGCTTTTATCTACAGAGAATAGTCTCAAGAGGGGTGTGTGACGTGTACCTTATAGAAAAGTCGAGAATATTTACAAACAGCCAGCAGTATTTTACAAAGTATTTGAAAGCTCACGATAAAATAGCTGTGAAAATGGTCATATGGATTATTGAGGAAGAATGTCCAGGAAGTGAAGTGTGCTGTTAGTGTGGACAGTGAGGTAATAGTCGGTTGCTTGAGTTGTCGAGTGATTTGAGAATGATGACAAAGACTCTGTACTCTGAAAGGCTGGCAGTCACGTGTGTGTGTGTAGGTTTGGTACTGTGTACACCTTACACCTGTATGGCGAGTGTCTCCACGTGATTGGAGCTGGGAAGGATGCGTTGGGAGAAATTTTCTGCAGCAGGTGACTTTGGAGTATTGAAGTGAGTTTAGGAGAGAGATGTTTCATGTCAAGAGAGCTTTTTCTGTAGGTATAGAGGCAGACGTCTAACGTATGGCAAAGAAGACCTTTATTCTCATCATAAATTCTGTTTTTAAATTGTTCAGATCTTGAGAAACAAATGTTCCAAGTCAGTTGATACTGGTGAGACTGACATTGAGCCTGTTGTAGATGATGATGACGTTTTCCCACCGTACGTGTTGAGGCCCGAGGATGGTGGCCCGCGAGTCACAGTCAACACGGCCATTGGACACATCAATAGGTAGGGTATCACACCATCTGCCTGGAAAACCTGTGAGCATTGCAGACTTAAGTCGAACCCTGGAAGCATTGTATTATTGTTTGCCTTTTGCAAACCATCACCAGTGTTTTCATTTATGGGTTGTAATATTTTGATGTGAGAAAGAAAAGAAGTTGCTTTTTTCCGTTCGTGTTTTTTTTGGTCTAAAGGTAAAAACAGTGTTGTGCAGTAATAAATGTTTAGTTCTTATTGGCAAGGCTGACATGATGAAACCATGCTTGTTTTAATTAGATTTAATTTAATTTTACAATGCTCACAAATTTTTTTCTGATTCCCAAAATTTGTTGTTTTGTGCCGTAACTGTTGGGGGATGTTGAATTTTCCATTAGCAACAGTGTAAGATTATGATAAATTAACTTGTGTTCTTGAGTGTGTTTTTAAGTTACTTTGTCCTGAATTGGTAATAACATTTCTAAGAACTAAGAAAAGCAGAGACGTACCTAGATTTTGTATCAGATAAATTTCATGCAGAGGCAAAATAAAGGAATGGCAAACATGAGATTTTCTTTTTCACTTTTTGTTTTGAAACAAAGAACTCCCCTGTCCGCTTCGCTGAGAGAGACCCGTTCATGTTTCATAAGAATGTTCTGCGGAGTGGAAGGGTCCAGTCCAGAGTCATGAGTTGTACCCATTTTTTCTCATCTCTTTAGTTTCCTTCAACCTGGAACCATTCTTCACCCTTTCCTTGACTTTCGTCCCTGAAACTTCTGAAGATTACAGACCAGTCATTTTGTAGTCTGTCTCTCAGTTTGGGTTTATCTGATATTTTCTCTTTGTTAGCCCAGGTTATGCATTTTTGGTCAGCGTATCACTGAAGTGATGCTGTGTTCTTCTCATTCCGTCTTGTCTGGTGCGCTCAGTGTCAGTTTGTGCTCTTACTGGTGCTGATGGTGACTTGATCCCTTACGTAAGGTCTGCCAGCTTTCTCTTTTATAGTTTCCTTTGTTCCCCCTTTACAATTTGTGAATATTTCATGGGGGGAAACTTTGAGACTATATAAAATTTATTCCTCTTCCCAGTTTGACCCATTAGTTTAATTATCCATTGATATTTCTTGCCTGAATTGATTATTAGTGTGATGTCTGCAAAATGATTTTCTAATTTCATTAAGCTTTCTGCATTTATTAGTTGGCATTCTACTGTAAAGAAGAACTTTCTTTTTTCTCCATTTATTTGTTCCTTTTATTTTTTTATCCAATGTTAACTAATGGATTCCTATCTTATTCAGTGGGTTATAATCTGTTACTATCATTTGTCATTTATTTTGATGTTAAAATTGTCTCAAATTTGGCCAGTGGGAGCCGCTTCCAGGTAGCTTCTGTGTCTTTTTAACATGTCACCATTATTCTTTGCACACTGCCTTATTTTATGGCACACTAAAATGTTCTAGACTCAACTCCTATTTTCCCTGCCCTAGCCTAGATAGCCTGTTTCTCCAAAAGGCCCTGATTTCTCTTAGTGGAGAATGGGTGGTGTTTAGAAACCAAGATCTGACCACTAGGTGTATTCATTGCCGGAGGAGTGTTGCTGCTACCAGGCTCTTTAGTAGACAGCTAGGAAATAGATTTATGCATCTACATCTATATATATTCACACACACATTTATATCTACATCTGTTTCTGTACCTGACTACTTATCTGTTGTCCTTTTTAGGATGACACCAGAGGGTTTGTTCTGGCTTTCTTCTTTTTCGTCTTTGTTCCTGGCTTTTTCAATAGTGAGAAATCTAACTCCCGTCATGCTCAAAATAATTACTTTTATGGTCAGTGTCCCTGTATGTAGCCAGTCTCCCTGCTCTGCAGGGCTGCCACCATGTTTGGGCACCCTAATTGTTCAGGTGCTGCCCTTGCAGGGCTGCTCCAGTCCAGTGCCCTCCTTGCATGGGTTCTGGCCTTCACTGAGTTGCCTGCCTGTCCCAGCACCCTCCTTACTCGGCCTCAGTTCCCTTGGAGCCAGCTTTTTGCCATGCTGCAGCACTCTCCTTGTGCTGCTGCTGGGTAGTCCTGTTCTAATGCCCTCCTTTGTATCAGTACTGGGTTGTCCTTCTGCCCTCTTCTCATGCCTTCCTTACACAGGCCCCAGTAGTTGCTGGCAAGTGCAAGATTAAGGAGCAAACACTGGCAATGTGTTCAGTTAACGGATTCAGAACAATATTTTCTGCCCAATATGACAGCACTAAACATATATGGCTATTTAAATTCAAATTTCAATTTTAATTAAAAAAAAAATTTAGTTCCCTAGCTGCCCTTGCTGTATTTCAAGCGCTGGGTTGCTGCCGTATTGGAAAGTGCAGATACAGAACACCATTGCAGAAAGTTTCATCATTGTTCCAACTTATTGAAAGTCTGAAACAATGAAGCTCAGACTCCACGTGTAAATACCAATCCCGTAGAGGGGAAGAGGGACATGAAAAATCAAACTTCAGTGAGCCAGCCCTGATGGCCCACTGGTTAAAGTTTGGCACAGTCTGCTTCAGTGAACATGGCTTGGTTCCTGGGCGTGGAACCACACCACCTGTTTGTCAGTAGCCATGATGTGGTGGCGGCTCACACAGAACTAGAAGAACTTCCTACTGGAATATACAACTATGTCCTCGGGCCTTGGGGAAGAAAAAAAAATCAGACTTCAGGATGGGGATATCAATACAGATTTTTTCATCTATTTCTCAGTTGTAGAGTCAGCATCAGAATTTCTTTTTCTTCACAGATACTGTGCTAGATTACCAAGTGATCCATTTACTCATCTGGCTCCTAAATGTAGAACCCGAGAGTTGCCTGATGGTACATTTTATTCAACTCTTTATCTGCCAATTAACTCGCCTCTTCGAGCCTCCATTGTTGTAAGTTTAGAAAAAGAAATGATCTTTATGTCATTAATGGATTTTTTTTTTCAGCTTCTCTAAGCCTATGCAAGTCACAGGTAAATTTGGCTTTAAATCTACTTTAAAAAGTAGATTTATAAATCTCTTTTAGTCAACTACCTGTTCAAATCGGCAATAGCCTATATAACCTACAGACTCTTAGAATTGGGCACAGCGACCTCTGAAATTTCCTCGAAGATCTTGTTGACGTAAACATCTCTGACAGAATCATTTAACTGTGACGTCGTACTTCTAGCCACACAGAATTCATTAAATGTAGTTGGGTGGCTCTGGTTCTTTGTTGTTGACTCAAAAACCCGCCGTTGTCTAACTGCTGTCCTTGATCCCAATGCTGATTTCCAGATATTCCAAGATGACTGATTTCTATTGCACATGAAAGGTTGTTCAGTACTGTTAATGTGTGTTAGTCACATCTCATATGTCTTTATTTTAGTACGTATTTGTAGATTCGTGAAAATAAGGTACATTAAAGTCTTATTGAAATTTAAATTCATCAAAATTGTCAAATCTCAGTTATAAACTCATTTAGGTTTTACTGGATAAGATTTTTAAAGATGGCTGTTTCAAATATGGAGATTAGGATTTTTTTAGACTTGCCAAAACTTTTCAAAATAAAGAACTTTGCTCTGGTAAATTTCAGCTATTAAAGATATTGGGCCAGAGGTTTCATAGCTGTTTTCTGTGTTAATGATAGCATAGCTGCATGCGTGTACAATGGAAATGTTTTTTGTTACTTTCAGGGTCCACCCATGAGCTGTATACGACTGGCTGAAAGAGTTGTAGCTCTCATTTGCTGTGAAAAACTGCACAAAATTGGTAAGAGTGTTTGAAAGCACATGAAATAAAAAATAAATTTAAAAGCACTGTTACACAAAAGCGTATCCAGGACTTTATAGGTCCCTGAGGATTTTGCAGAGCTGTGACCCGTTGCCTGTGGTGTGGTTTGGTGACTTGGGTGTGAGCACCGTGTACCCTGAAGACCTGGTCATGGGGCGGAGCTCTGTTTTCCACAGTGAACAGCAGATGAGCGTCATTTATTTGCTCCCTTTGCTGACCTCTTTAAATACATGAAGCTTTCTTGTACTGTTGAATCATGAACATTTGTGTTTTAATGTATCATTCTCTCACATTAGTCTATATTAGTATACAAATGAATCCATTTTTTTTTAAATTCCATGGCTTATATAAAGTGATAATATGTGCTGTTTTCCTGTTTAGATGTTTTTAGTTTTCAGTTGTACAACAGAATGTGTGGTCCTACTCACTCCGAATGTGTGAGTGCCCAAATAGACTTTGCCTGAGGTATCATGTCTGGTTACTTTTTATCATGAAAAGCAAAGGTGCTTTGGTTGTCATTTTTCTTCCAGTCACTTCCTAACACAGTGCTGTTCTGGATTATTTACTAATTAATTAGAGAGGCAAAATCTGGATTGTCATGTTAATTCTTTTAAATTTCTTAGGTGAACTGGACGACCATTTGATGCCAGTTGGGAAAGAGACTGTTAAATATGAAGAAGAGCTTGATTTGCATGATGAAGAAGAGACCAGTGTTCCAGGAAGACCAGGTTCAACAAAACGAAGACAGTGCTACCCAAAAGCGGTTAGTACTGTTTAGAACTGAATAAAAATCTAGCCTTTCTGACTTTTAGTAAGTTCCTGTTCTTGGCTTCCCAAACCCTTGTCACATGGCTGACTCTGGCTCTCAGCTCATGTCCCCTTCACAGCTTCCCCCGGTCAGCCCCTTTGCTTTCGTAGCGCACTCTGTGCCCTTCCCACTTCAGACATTGCTTTTGTTTTTCTTCTCAAGAAGATTCTTGGACTCGTCTGTCAGATTCTATCCAGAATGAGTTTATTTCGTTTAAAGAGACATTTCTTGTTTCTTTCACTTGTGTTAGGTAAGATTATTGCTTTATTTATGTTTGTGGCTAAAACAGAGGAGGGTTTTAATGAAGAAATAGGCAAGTGAAAAGATGGTGGTTGAAGCTGCGGGCTGCACTGGTGGGCAAGCGCAGGTGCCTGTCAGGAGGTGGGGTGTGGCTCCTGGGGTCGAAATCAGTGGTTCCAGTGTGTTGCGTCCAGCGTGGTACATGGCGGCCAGCAGGATGCGTGCACTGAAGCATCTTCAAGTGTGACTTCTGCTGTAGCCACACTGGCTGAAGTACTTACTTTTAAAATATTTGTTAATCTTGTTGCCTCATAAGAACCCCAAACAAAAGCAAAATTTTGGTGTGTACTTTCATCTTAGACTAAGTGTGTCGTTCTGTTTTATTTTTGCAATTTTACTGAGTTTTTACTTTTAAAAAATTTGTACTTAGCTAAGTATTCAAGATTCAAAATCATGTCAATTTTTCAAAACTCATGAATGTTACTCATTTTCCTGAAATGTTTGTTTCTCTCAGTTTTCTTGCTCTAACATTTACCCCAGAGATCACGGCCTAGTTTCATGTGACAGACATTGTCACTAATAATAAGGAAGCATAGTACTGCCTTGCATCCTGTCTAATGATGCGTTCTGTATTATTTGATACTCATTAATGATGGCCAGTATTTCTGTGCCTTTTAACTACGGACGTGATCATTTATGTCATTGAGCCTCAGAAACTGCAAGAATGTTGGGTAGGGTTGTATGAATATTGAAAGTTTAGAAACAATCGCAGATTAATTAAATTATGGTTTATTTGTATAATGAGATAGCCATTAAAAATGATGATATTGATTTGTATTGACCCTGAAAGAGATTCTCATTGTAGTAACCAGAGATAAAAATCAGGTTTTGACAGTCTTTGTTGTGTGATTCCGTTTGTAATGAAAGATACGTATATGTAAACATTTATATACATTTCTGTGTAGGAAAAAGTCTGGGAGATGATGCAGTATAACAAAATGTTAATAAAGGTTATCTTCAAGTGATAGGACTATATGGGGTTTTAAAAAATTTGCCTACCTTTATTTTCTCACATTCTACACTAAAAAACCCAAGGAAGAAAAGAATTTTCTAGTTAACAGGAATAGATCAAATGAATAGTATTTTTTTTAAAAGATCCTACAATGTTTGTTTTATGTAATTTTGGTATTAGCTATATAGTCAGCAGTACATTATAAGGTAGGTACCTGGGGCCACCTTGCAGCTCAGACCTGAGAAATGCTGACTCTCCAGTGGGGCTAAGCAATTGGGAGGTCTCATGCTTTGGGTATTTTCTTAGCTTTTTCTCATCAGCTTTTAGTAAAGCCAGGAATATATTTGTTTTCTTGCCAACATCTGGAAAAGAGCTGATTATGTTTGAGCTTGATGCTTAATTTTTCTTTCTACTTCTAGATTCCAGAATGTCTGCGGGATAGCTATCCCAAACCGGACCAGCCCTGTTACCTGTACGTGATAGGAATGGTTCTGACCACACCTCTACCTGATGAACTCAACTTCAGAAGGCGGAAGCTCTATCCCCCTGAGGACACCACAAGATGCTTTGGAATACTGACAGCCAAACCCATACCTCAGGTGGACACTTCTTAATGTTTTTATGTTAAAAATATCTTGTTTTTTTTAAAAAAGGAAAAACTTCTTAAGAGTAACAGCCTTTTGTTACCTCGGTATGATTAATTTTTATGAATTGAGGTATCTTTTCTATTTCCTGATAGAAAGCATCATTCCTCTTTGAAGTTAACTATTTGTAATGGGATAAAATGCCTGTTAACCTTGAGGGGTGCTTTATTTTTCTTTTTGTTAAGATTCCGCACTTTCCTGTGTACACCCGCTCTGGAGAGGTTACCATATCCATTGAGTTGAAGAAGTCTGGTTTCACGTTGTCTCTGCAAATGCTTGAGTTAATTACAAGACTTCACCAGTATATATTCTCGCATATTCTTCGGCTTGAAAAACCTGCACTAGAGTTTAAACCCGCAGACGCTGACTCAGCATACTGCGTTCTACCTCTCAATGTTGGTAAGAAGCGCCTGGCTCTAGAGCCGCCACTTTCGCTAGCTAAGAAATGAAAGTTGTGCTTGACAGCTAGCTTGTCTGTACTACAGAAATCTCTTACTTTGATAACTCTGAATTAGACACATGTATGAATATACAGCTTAAGTAAGAATCTTATCTGTATTATTATATTTTACCAAGCTAAAGAGTCTTTTTCTTCCCGAAGTTAATGACTCCAGCACTTTGGACATTGACTTTAAATTCATGGAAGATATTGAGAAATCTGAAGCTCGCATAGGCATTCCCAGTACAAAGTATTCAAAGGAAACACCCTTTGTTTTTAAATTAGAAGATTACCAGGACGCAGTTATCATTCCAAGGTAGGTGTTCAAATGGAAAGCAGAGTGCTGGCGATCTTTGTTTCAGAAGACTCACTTGTTCCTGGGGACGGAGTGGACTGTGACTTCTCCGTGGATGTTACTGTAGCAACTTGAGGCCTCTCCTTACCGTGGACGTGTCTTCTCCAGTTTATTTCCTTAAAAAATGAAACCTGAAAACACTGTGGGGGTGGGGATTTTACTCTGTGAAGGTCAGATAATCTGAATGCTGTTGCTTTCTTCCTTTAATCCCTAAAGTCTGTAGAGTTTGATCATGAATAATAATTTCTTAAAATTTTTATAAGAAATAAATGTTATTAAGTGCAATGAAAATAGTAAGTCAGAATGCTTTTTTCCTTATTTTGTAAAAATTTAGGAGATGAAGTTTTTGAGCAATAAGATTAAATATAGACACTTGTCAAGGAATTAGAGTACAACTGTAATTCAGCTTTTCTTTCCTTTTTTTTATTGTCTTTTTGCACCTGAAAGCCATATTTTTAAATGTTAGCTGTCGTCAAACTATCAATGTCATAAATGGTGCAGTTTATGTGGCAAGTGTCTTTCATGTTTAGCTTTAGTAATCTACAAAGTATTTACTCAGTGTGGATATTGAAAGTTTTCTGTACTGTTATTGATGAAATGAAGAGATATTTCAAGGGGCCATTTAGCTTTCATGTGTTATCAACCTATAGATATTTAGAAGGTTAATAGCGAAGAAGGTAGAATGGAGTCAGTCTTTTACTTGATATAAATATAGTTCTCGTCTCAGATCCACTTGACATGTTGTTTGGAATCCAGGTTTTCATCAATGTTATTTATTTTTAACCTTGTGAACTCCTACTTTAAAATCATAATTTGCATTTCCATATTAAAAACAGTTGTGTTTTGAGAGTAGTTGATTTAAACCAAAAAGTCACTGATTGTTTTTCTTTTTTAGATATCGCAATTTTGATCAGCCTCACCGATTTTATGTAGCTGATGTGTACACTGATCTTACCCCACTGAGTAAATTTCCTTCCCCTGAGTATGAAACTTTTGCAGAGTATTATAAAACAAAGTATAACCTTGACCTGACCAACCTCAACCAGCCGCTGCTGGATGTGGACCACACATCTTCAAGGTGAGGCGTTTCAGAAATGGTGCTTTGGTTTCACTTGAGGCATTGTTTCCAGCAGTCAGTAGGCACGTGTAGAGGTTTGCTGTCCTGCCCTGTGTCAGCGCTGCCCCCCCCCCCCCCCCCGCCCCCAACAAGATCGGGAGATCCTTTGCAAACACAGTTGCCCAGAGTGTGCCCCAGGGTCTACAGTTGGTGATTTGTGGGCACACTGAGGTGGTAGGACCACTGTGAGAGTGTACTTGTTTCTGTCTGTCTGATAAAATTATTTTGACATTCTATCTATAGACTTAATCTTTTGACACCTCGCCATCTGAATCAGAAAGGGAAAGCTCTTCCTTTAAGCAGTGCTGAGAAGAGGAAAGCCAAATGGGAAAGTCTGCAGAATAAACAGGTAATGAGTTATTGTTACTAGCAAACTTAATATTTTTAGAGATAAACTTGAATTTATATTATCAAGTAAACTGAGTGAATTTTTTTGAAGTTGCCCAACCTTTAGGTTTTGCTTTATTTTAATTAGCATTCTGTGTTGACCAATCTTTGAATGCCTTTTTGGTGAGTTGGAGAGGTTTGGCTTTTATACTTGGTCCATTGATACAATTATATCATGAAATCATCCTTATAAGTCCTAGGATAAACCCCATTTTCCTTAAAGGATTATTTGTAAGTAAAATAAAAAAATAAAAAATAATAAAAATAGAATATTTTTAAAAAGAAGATTTTGCTAGCATTTATGATTTTCGCCTTTATGAGTGAAATTGGGCTTAAACTTTATTTTTTATTCTTCTGTGTGTTTGCGTTATATTTCTCTCTCCCCATGTTTCCTTGCTCAGATCCTGGTTCCAGAACTCTGTGCTATCCATCCAATTCCAGCGTCACTGTGGAGAAAAGCGGTTTGTCTCCCCAGCATTCTCTATCGCCTTCACTGCCTTCTGACCGCAGAGGAGCTCCGAGCCCAGACGGCCAGCGATGCTGGCGTGGGAGTCCGATCGCTCCCCGTGGATTTTAGGTACGCCTGTGCTCTCAGCCAGAGGAAACGGGTCATTAAACCCTATTCTCAGAAGAACTGAACTAGGTTCAAATTTTAATTTCATGTAAAACCATTCTTGAAAGGTTAGGAAGATCACGTGGGTGCCTAACACATGAAATGAAGGCATCGTTTGACTCTTGAAGTGGAAATCTGTACGTTGCATCTTTGAGTCCTATGTTCTCGTAAAGTTACAGAGGGAGATGAGATCTAAGGTGACAAGTCATTGTTCCTCCATCAGTTTGATGGCACGTGAAGTGGATGTGGGAGCAGTTCTTTGTTACTCTGCCGACATTTTAAGGCTGCTTTCTCTTTTATAAAATCAAATGTGTATTAAAAGGCAGTTGCCTCAATATGTTCTTTGTCTCCCTCGTTTTCTTCCCACTGGTGAAGTCTCTGCGTTCTAAGGAAGTTGTTGGTTTAACCACTCAAATTAATTTTGGTTATCCAGTTGGCAAGACCAAGATGGTTCTGAGGATTGAGGAACCTTAGAATGGTAAAATCACAGCTGCATTTATTGAGTACTTACTACAGTGTCAAACACGGGTTTAAAAGCTGTGGCCCGTATTAGATCATTGACCCATCGGGACAATCCTGTGCAGTAGGAATTGTTGTTAACCCCTCTTCCGAGTGCGGAAGCTAAGGCACAGAGAGATTATGGACATTGCCAGAAGTTACCCAGCTACTTAACTGGAGGGCCTGGGATTGTAGCCCACGCAGCCTGTGGCCCCAGGTCCTGCAGGGTGATCCCAGACTCCATGGTCGCCCCCACCACGTGCTCTAGGGCGGAGGGTTAAAGCAGTGCGGCCAATCGTTTCTCCCTTTGTAATTGATGTCGTGCAGAGTTCCTGTAATGTCGATTTCTGCCTTGGAAAGGTTTGCCTTCTAAAATAGTATATTTATAGGGATCTTTATATGTTTTATTCAAATTGCTCTTGCTCTAAGCCGAGCCCTGTTCAAGGATCTGATGAAAGGTTATAAAAATGTCTTTGCAGATACCCTAACTTAGACTTTGGGTGGAAAAAATCTATCGACAGCAAATCTTTCATCTCAACTGCTAACTCCTCTTCAGCTGAAAACGATAGTTACTGTAAGCACAGCACAATTGTAGTCCCTGAACATGCTGCACATCCAGGTGCTAATAGAGCCCCCTCTCCAGAACACCGTGACCAAATGTCTGTGAGCTGCAGGACGCTGCTCAGCCGGCCGCCCGGTGAGCTCCCAACTGAAGTTTCAGCAGATCTGGCGGCAGTTAATGGTCTTTCTTACAATGGAAATCTTGCCAACGGCAGTTACGATTTAGCTAACAGAGACTTTTGCCAAGGAAATCAGCTGAATGACTACAAGCAGGAAATACCTGTACAACCAACTACCTCATCTCCCATTCAGAGTTTATACAATTACGAGAACCAGCCCAAGCCCAGCGATGAATGTACTCTACTGAGTAATAAATACCTTGATGGAAATGCTAACACATCTACCTCAGATGGAAGTCCCCCGACGGCCGCGACGCCTGGTACTGCAGAAGCTGTGAAAGCGCTCAAGGCCAGGGCGGATTCTGAGCAGAGTCCTTCTCCTGGGTACTCCTCGAGGACTCTGGGCCCAAATCCAGGACTTATTCTTCAGGCTCTGACCCTTTCAAATGCTAGCGATGGGTTTAACCTGGAGCGGCTGGAAATGCTTGGAGACTCCTTTTTGAAGCATGCCATCACCACCTATCTATTTTGCACTTATCCTGACGCTCACGAAGGCCGCCTTTCATACATGAGAAGCAAAAAGGTGAGAGAGAATCCTTTTATTTTGAGAAGTTACAGTGGTTCCTCAGTGTGCATCCAAGCGGTTTGAAGCATTGGGTAATTTCAGAAAGAAGGGAAGCCTTCACCTCAGGGATTGCCGCACGGACGCGTGCAGACGCAGCCGGTGGCATTTCTGCCCAGGCGCGGGCATGAATCTGTTTTTCGCTGATGAAGCACTCTGGGTTTGGGGCTTTGCTGATCTGTTTGTGCCTTATTTATTGGTAGAAATTCAGTTCAAATGAGACTGAATTTGTGAGAGCGTGTGCGTCTCCTAGATCCTGAGGCTGATGGAAAGAAAGAGTGTTCAAGGAACTTGTGTTTTACTTTAGGTACTCAGGAGGATGCTGTCTTGGCATACAAGGCATACAAGCATGGCTAAGATGCAAGTCTTTCCTAGGGGAGCTCATCTTCAAGGGTTTGGAGAGCAGAGAGGGGAGGGAGCAGCACCTTCCCCAGCTCAGGGACTCTCCAGTGAAGGAGAGTGACTCCTGCCAGAATTCTGAGTGAGCAGTGCTTGACAGCCCAAAGGAAGGGCGGGATCTTAAGCTTAGTGTGCATTTAAGATTTAAGGAGGAAAAGTGATGAAGGTAAAATATTTAAATGAAGATAAGAGGTGTCACAAGGCAGCACAAGTAGTTTACAAAGCTGCTAATTGTGCTAAGCACTCAGCAGGAAGGAATGTCACTTGTGATCAGGGAAGATGTTGATGGAGGAGGTGCGTTCACAGTGTGGAAACAATGAACACATGGCAGAGCCCCTCTGCTAAACTGTGGCGGTCAGAAGTATGGAAGGACCTGAGAAGACTTACAAAGGCGGGTGGGTGGAAGCTGTCTGGAGGAAGATCTTCAGGGCTAGGCTGGGAAGTTGTAGCCCTCTTGAAGGGTTTTTACATAAGGGGCCATCAGTGAAGTGGTGGTTTTAACTCACTCTGGTAGCAGAGTGCAGTGCAAGTTGGAAAGCCAAACCAAACCAAGCTGAGCCATTGGTTGGGCTTTGAGTGTAAGCTTCTGCAGAGAATGGAATGGACCTGGAGTTCTGGGGGTGAGGAAAGACTGAGGGGAGTGAGATTTCACAGGAAATAAGGATTTTAGCTAACACTCACAGTGTTTAGCCTAGCCAGATGCTACTATTGTCACTGTATGTATATTAATTACCTAATTTAATTCTCATTATATTTCCGTATCCTTTTATTTATAATTGCGTATGCTTTTATTATCCTCATTTTGTAGATGAGGATACTGAGGCAGGAGAGGTTAACTTGCCCAAGGTCACATGGCAAGCGCGTGGCAGAGCCCAGACAGTCTGGCTCTTCACCATCACACTGACCTACGTCTGGTGCTACTCTGTAGCCCAGGCACTGCACTGAGCCTTTTACAGACCTCCTCTCACTTATCTTCACCGCGAGCCCCTGAGGGGTAGCGATCATGTCCCCGTTGCAGGTGAGAACACTGGCCTGGAGAGTTTCATTAGCTTGTATAAGGTCATCTAGCTAGTCTGGGCTGCTCCGGAGTGTGTCTGAGGCTGGAGTCCATACCCTTCTCTCTGCCTCCAGTCTGGGTGGGAGGCAGAGGCACTGGTGATGCAGTAATGACAGCCATATGAACCAGGAAGCTGGGGTGGTGACGGTGCAGTTGGTGAGGTAGACAGAAATGAGGGAAGTCAGGCTTAGGGTTTTTAGACCTCACGGATTTTCAAGTGAAGTGTTCAGATAATTGAAAATTTAGGGCTTAGATACGGTTTGGGGGAGTGTTCTTCATAAGTGTGATAATGGAAGCTCTGAGAACAAATGGGATTTCTAAGGGCTGGTTGCAGGAAGAAAATATCAGAGGCTAAAAATGAGTATAAAGTAACAGTATTCTTTGTTAGGTAAGAAATAAATTGTTGATATTTTGAAAATTCATCCGTTTGCCCGGAAAGCTTTGCCTCCTCCTTGCCCGCAGAAAGCTGTATCACTCGCTCAGCCTGGTGTGGAAGGCCCTTTGGTTGTGCTCACACCCAGATGCGCTCGTCCCCTGACCAAGTTAAGCGCCTCGCTGTGCGTCTGCGAACTCAGGCCCACACCCTCGCTGTGCTCCTTCTTGGCATGCTCGCCCCGTTTCTGCTTGTTGAGTTCTGCCTGTCCCACCTTGTGCCTTACCTGGGTCCTTCCTCCTTAGTTCTTTCTGCATTTTCCATCCTGCCGACCATTCCTGTTAACTTAGAGTGTGATTTCCATCCCTTTCGAGTCCCCGTTGCATTTCACCGTCTTGTTGGCATTTGTGGCCTGTTCTCAGCATGGGCAAGGAGACTAGCATTGACTTAAGCTGCTAGGTTTCAGGCGGGTGGGAGAGCACGTTAGCGCACAGTGAGGGTCCTGTGTAGACTCCTGTCCCTCCCAGCCGTGTGCTTGGCAGGGCCTGCTCCTCCGTCTGGCTGACTGTGTTCTCGGGGCTGCCTGTAGTGTCTCCCCCATGGCAGGTGCTCATTCAGGGATAGCGAGTATGTGGGGAAAAGGCTCGAGAAGTACTTAAATCAAAAGGAACCCAGTTTTTAGGAAAGAAAAGTGAGATGGATAGTTCTAGACCCTAGCTTCCGAGTGAAGATAGAAGACGTGGAGTGATGGAGTAAATTAGGGAGAAGATGGAGGCCTGAGGTAAAGCAGACCGAGGGCAGGCGGTAAAACTGTCTTCTCGAGGGGCATGAACGTGCAGTTGCTCTTACTGCCTTTTGCCCTACTTTAAAATGGTTGAACAAAAATGTCTTAAAATGCCATCCCAAACAAAGGAATAGTGTTTGAGAAAACGCTACAATTGAAATCATATTTGTGGCCTAGATTCTAGGAATATAAAATTACTTTAGCTTTGTTCAGTGTGAATTTTCACTTTAGATCATTTTCCCCTTTTATTTCATTGGGAATATTGTGACACCTTGGACTTTTTATATGGATTCTTTTCTCTTCTGATAGCCCCAATTAGCAATTTGCATTTATATTATCAAGTTGTGCTTTTAAAAGTTTGAAATTGTTTGAACTGGTTCTTCTGACTTTATAAGAATTTGCATATTTATAGACATCAATTTTTTCTGATCTACATTTTATATTCAGAAATATTCATCTAACTACACTAAAGGATATGGAATACATGGGAATTTAATATTTCCCATTGTGAGTAGGTAGGAAAACTATACTATCCTTGTAACTGATGCCCAGTTATGAAGGACATTTAGCTGAGAATATGTTAATATGCCTGGTATGAATTCCTGCAGTGATCATTTGTGGATAAGTGTCTCATAAATTTTTTTTGCTAAAGGTCAGCAACTGTAATCTCTATCGGCTTGGAAAAAAGAAGGGACTGCCCAGCCGCATGGTGGTGTCGATATTTGATCCCCCTGTGAATTGGCTTCCTCCTGGTTATGTAGTAAATCAAGACAAAAGTAACACAGATAAATGGGAAAAAGATGAAATGGTAAGTTTTTGGTAACTGGAAGGATTTATTTTTTGGTGAGGGGGAGAAATTGTTCTATTAATTTTTTGTTTCTTTTCCCTGGTATGTTTAGAGTAGAGTAGATATTTGATATATTAGTTCTTCTAAATTGACTGTCTTTTCATTGAATTTAGAAACAGTGTTGTAATTTTGATGGAGGGCAGTTTCTGTTATCTTCTTTTCCAGAAGCTGAAGAGTATCTGATGTCGTGACTCCAAAAAAAAAAAGCACAACCCCGTAGCATTTCCCATCCATATTGCGTATTACAGTTTCTCCCAGATGCTTCGCTCTGTTCAGTGAATGACTTTCCAGTGAACTGTGCTGTCTAGCCCTTCCGTGAAATAATTGCAGTAAAATCTTGCTTTTCTAGCTCAGGGTTTTCACAATTAGGACTATTTCTCTTGTGACCCCAAAACCAAAAAAAACCATACATAAAGCTTGCAGTTTTCTAGAAATAGTTTAAATCTTGCCATTGACTTAAGAAGACTCCAGATATTGGCTACAGCTGCTCCGTTTTGTCTTGTCTCGAAGGCCAGCAGAGGGCAGCTCGGAGGGCCTCGGAGGTGGAGGGGACCCGTGGCAGTGGGCTGGGCAGGACTTGGCACGTCTGCAGGTGAAGGGCCGGCTCTCAGGCAGTGTCACTTCTCCAGCATGCATGTTGCCTTAATGAGAAACTGGCTCCTTGATACTTCATTTTTACTGCAGGCCAGCAGTGACACTGCCACTCCTTTCACAGGTTCTATTTTCTAAATGCACGTTTTCTTCACATCTCCTTTCTGACGTGTATTTCCTACATATCTGACTTAAGTATTTCCACGTAGCATGCTCTGTGACTCTGTTTGGATTTTTACCTATTTATTGAGTATATTTTTAACTCATGCAGTATTTGACTTATTAAAGAAATTAAACTTGTCTGGAAAGCATTAAGAGAATATTTTAATGTAAGTTGGGTTAGAAAAATTACGTATTTTTTAATTAGTGTAGAAATAGGTAGAGCCTTAGAGGAAAATGTGTAGATTTTGAGAACTTAGAGAAAATATTGTATTTCTGTGAAAAATATCCCAGTAACGATTACCCTGTCTTGGAAATACTGTTTCATAGTATAATGGTTCTTTTAAAAAACTTTTTAGCATAAAGTTGACATTGGCATGTCCTTTTGATTTTAAGAAATTTTTTTAAGATATGACACAGAATTTTTATTTTACTTTCCTTAACATTTTAGATTACCTGGCACGTTGGTTCTTTTGAATACATTAAAAACACTGTTCATATTTTCACTTAATAAATTGAAATAGGTCCTTACATGATGCTGGAAAGCATGTGCATGTTCCATTCCTGTTGTACCCGCCTGCGTCCTCAGCAGATAGGAGTAAGTGAAGCCTTTGCACATGGAGGCCAAAAGTAGTCATGCCTCAGGTGGGAAGCTGCCATGAACTGTAAGAGAAACGAGAGCTTCATGCTGGCGTTTCTTTAAAGGAGCTTGAAGTGCTCTTGGAAACCATCTAGTGCGTGGAATCCCATGAGTTTGCAGCTAAAGAAATGGAAACCCAGATGCATTACAGAACTTCACCCAAGAACACAGCTTATTTGTGGTAAAACCCACTTCTTTGTTTTTTGAGCTCTGCCAAGTTTAGCTTACAGTAGCGCCTTTCTAAGGATATATAAGGATTTTTTTTTAATTAAAAAATTATTCACTTTGATTTTTTTTAAATTGCGTTTTGGCCTTTTTTTCTTAAGGACCACACAGTAGTCAAAAATATCTCATGTCCCTTAGAAAAGTATAGGATTTTAACAGGAAACAGTTCCTAGAGGCCTGCCGCTGTAGTTTCTTTTGGTGTTCTTTCCTTTCTCTTGAAAAAATTTTATAAACTTTTTTTAATAAAAAAATGTAAAAGTATATAGTTGTTGATACATGATTTGGCTCACTGCTCTTATTTCTTTTCAAACAAATATGCTGTATCTCTTTTGAGTCTGGCTTAAAGTGAAATACTTGCAGTGTTTAAAGAATGCTTGACAAAAAGTTTGAAAACCTCTTTGTCAGAATACTCTGGAAAATGGTCATTGTGGAAATTGATGATGGGTGAAGCCCACCCTCCTGCCGTCCCCCCAAGGTGAAGCCTTGTTGTTGCTAGTGCACAAGAAATTTGGCATCTTTCTAGCATTGCAAAAAAGTCACATCATTACTGAATCCTTGCCCGTTATTAAGGTTGTCATTCACAAATAAGCTTTTGCCAAAGAAATTGGAATTAGCAAAGATCTCCTGACAGAAATTGGATTGTTGTGTTTCATGTTAGTCTAAATTTTCTTGTGTTTTTGTCAGTCATGCTCTAATCTGTTTCCCTGATTACTGTAGCTCAGTGGAGGGAAAGCATGCTTTCCCAAGTTCATGGCTTAGTTCGCTGATCACTTTTGGTTTTCAAGCAAAGCAGTTTAGTTTCACATTGTAGCAAATGTACTTTGAAGTGGAGATAGGGACAGAAAAACTTTATCATAAAACCTTATTGTACATTTTTAATATATGAAGATTTTTAAAATATATTTATCAATTTTCATATTTTACTCCTACTTCATGGCAGAGATTATGCTTTTTCTACATCTGGAATTTAATTTTATTAATTCGAAAATCTTGAAAACATTTTAAAACATCGTCAGCAGAATTGAAGCTCTCTCTGATCGGCACGTGAGTGCTTTCATTGTGTGCCCTGCCGAGTTAGAATTCTTAGCTGCAGTTTTGGCTCGTGGACATTAATTTTAACTTTATATCCATGGACAAAATCCTTAACTTAAAGCTTCATGCTGGCTGAAGGTCATTTTATAACTTAGAAAATGAACATTCAAAGAACATGTTTTCCTTTGTTTATATGATTAAATAACTTATTTTATGTTAATTGAAAACAAATGGCCGTGATTTTAAAGTTGCCTTTTAGTATTTGTGGTTGTCATTTGAAATTATCCATAACCCTTGCTTTTATTGAGTTTCAAACCCTTTTAAAAACAGCAGCTATGTCTCCCCTGCTTCCCCATTCCCCCTGGTTTCAGACAAAAGACTGCATGTTGGCTAATGGCAGACTGGACCGGGGCTTGGAGGAGGAGGAGGAGGAGGAGGACCTGCTCTGGAGGGCTCCGAGGGAGGACGCCGACGATGACGACGATTTCCTGGAGTACGATCAGGAGCATATCAAGTTCATAGACAACATGTTAATGGGATCCGGAGCTTTTGTCAAGAAAATTTCTCTTTCTCCTTTTTCAACCACTGATTCTGCATATGAATGGAAAATGCCCAAAAAATCCTCCTTAGGTAGTATGCCATTTTCATCCGATTTTGAGGATTTTGACTATAGCTCTTGGGATGCAATGTGCTATCTGGATCCTAGCAAAGCTGTTGAAGAGGATGACTTTGTGGTGGGGTTCTGGAATCCGTCAGAAGAAAACTGTGGTGTTGACACAGGGAAGCAGTCCATTTCTTACGACTTGCACACCGAGCAGTGCATTGCTGACAAAAGCATAGCCGACTGCGTGGAAGCGCTGCTGGGCTGCTATTTAACCAGCTGTGGCGAGAGGGCTGCTCAGCTTTTCCTCTGCTCCTTGGGGCTGAAGGTGCTCCCGGTAATTAAACGGACTGACCGGGAAAAGGGCCTGTGCCCGCCTAGGGAGAATTTCAGCAGCCAACAAAAGAACCTTTCAGGGGGCTGGGCTGCGGCCTCTGCAGCCAGCTCTCGCTCTTCTGTCTGTAAAGACTTGGAGTACGGTTGTCTGAAGATCCCACCAAGGTGTATGTTTGACCATCCAGACGCAGATAAAACCCTGAATCACCTTATATCGGGTTTTGAAAATTTTGAAAAGAAAATCAACTACAGATTCAAGAATAAGGCTTACCTTCTTCAGGCTTTCACACACGCCTCCTACCACTACAATACCATTACTGGTAAGGAGCCCCAGACCAAACTGCATTCTCTGAAGATGAGACCTTGCTGAATTGCATTATTTTGGCCTATTAAAAAAAAAAAAGCTATGCATGTACAGAGTTAGTGCTTAAGCTGCATGGTCGGGGGAGGAAGCAAGAGAAAAATGAAAGCACCTTGATTTTCCTCCTCTTTTTGGGAGCGTGCACTGCTCCTTCACTCTGGTAGCTGGGAGGCTAGCTCTCTCATGTCCTTACATACATGTCACTTTATATGCTGCATCGTTAGAGAAGGGTGAGCCTAAGTATTTTGTTTTATTTTTCCCGCTTTATCCTGCCCTACTGTCTTTCTGATGCCTCTCAGCACTGCTTTTGGTTCTTGATTTATTCGTGAATTCTGGAAGTGTTTCTATGTCCTTTTATTGTTCTTCCTGAACAAAGAGGCCCCTCTCTTGAGGTCTTTTTAAATCTAAAGATGAATAGCTTGAAAGAAACTGCTTCCCTGAGGGTGTCGTTGCACTTGCTCTGCTGTCGTCTGCTGTGCATGCTCCCGTTCTTCTCCTCCTTGGTTAATAGGCTCCCAACACATTCAGTTAGAAAGGAGACTGGAGGCCTAAAGCCCAGATCAGCTTCCGCTTGTGCAACACAGCTCAGGCTGATGTGTCTTCTCTGTCAGAGCAGTCAGTGCTTGAATCTAGGATGCCAAAGCAAAGTGTAAAGTTTGTATAAGAAAAATAGTGCAGGCTAAGATGATCAGAAAAATGTAAAACCAAACAGTGAAAAATTCTTTGACACTGGATCAGAAAGACTCAGGTGAGACTGAACCTGCTTTTCTTTGTGGGGAGAAGTGAGGCGTGGTTCCCGCCGCGCTCCACTGGAATGAGACCTGGGTTCGAGCCTGTTTCAGCCCTTCGTCTTGACGCCTGGGGATGCTGGGACTAGTGACTTCCTCTGTCCCCGTCTGTCCCCAGGGCAGTCCCTGTGAGAGCGCGGAGGTGTGCGTTAGCTCGAGAACGCTCACGTTCTGACAGCAGGCGCTTTTGCCTGAGGTCTTTGCTCACTTCCACAGCTCTTCTTTCTCAGTCTCTTGGTTTATGTCCAATTCAGCATTTCTAATTTGAGCTGAGAAAAGGGTCCTCTTGTACTGACTGTCATCTTGTGTAGCCACTGTAACCCGGGAGTGGCGGGGCACGGTGTCAGTGACGCGCATTCCAGAGTGTGGGTGGGGCGAGGTGCAGCGGTGGAGCACACGGTGCAGCGAGCAGGACGTGTGGTGGGGGTCTGGCCTCGCCAAAGCGGTGACGTGTGAGGGAGACTTGAGAGGAGCACCCGGCACCTGCCTGGCCAGCACGGGCCACAGGGAAGGGTTCAGTGATAATGACATCTCCTGGGAAATGCTGTTTTCTTAACAACCATTAGTCTTTGGGCCACTTAAGGATTTTATGACCCCGATTTATGTATCAGAAATGTGCTTAATTTGACCTTAAAATTTAATTTCCAGAGGCTTCACTAAGTATGATGTGAAAAATGATTTTGTCATTGAAGAACAGATATGAAAATGAACCCAAGTCTCTAAAATGGGTCTGGGGACCAGACCTTTCCATCAGTTATTATGTGGAAATTGCGTAAATGTTTTTGCCCAAGCTTAATGGCTCCACTTGGGGTCCTCCCTCAGATTGTTACCAGCGCTTAGAGTTCCTGGGAGATGCGATTTTGGACTACCTCATCACCAAGCACCTTTACGAAGACCCCCGGCAGCACTCCCCAGGGGTGCTGACCGACCTGCGGTCTGCTCTGGTCAACAACACCATCTTTGCGTCGTTGGCTGTCAAGTACGACTACCACAAGTACTTCAAGGCAGTGTCTCCTGAGCTCTTCCACGTCATCGACGACTTCGTGCAGTTCCAGCTTGAGAAGAACGAGATGCAGGGAATGGATTCTGAGGTTAGTGCTGTTTAAAAACACATTGAATTACGTGTTTAAAATAAGCCCTCCAGTGGGGTGGCCAGTAGTTTCAGAGTTCTGGCTGCACAGCTGTCCAGAGAGACAGCTGGAGGCTGGGGCCATGGTACCCAGCACGCTGGACGTTCTCTCAGGATGTGACTGGGTCGCGCTCTTCAGGTGGGCCTTTTAAGCTCGACTGCCCACACTGTGGTGCGTGTGGTCCTTCGAGTGGAGAGAGCAGCCAGGGCTCTCCGCTATCTTCCCGTGCCCCGTCCGTGATTCGGGCTTCCAGCGTCTAGGCCTAGAGCCAAAGGAGTGCAAATTGCCCCTGCCCCCAGGTGGCTCTCACCCTAGAGAAAGCTCACCATACTTCCTTCTGTCTTCCTTTCGGTTTAAAATGATCAGAAGTATTTGCCAAGGTCTCAGGTAAGCATCACAAATGTATATTCTGCTCCTACTTGAAATGGAAAAATCTCATTTAAAAACCAAACTTCTAAATTTTTAACCATTGGAATGAGACGCTTCTACTGTAAGTTCAGCCAAAGGTTCTTCGGTGATGGAGCTAATTCTAATATGTTTGTGAACTTTTCTGAAGTTTTGTAGGAAAGGATGTTGCTGAGATCTTTCCAGTCCCCTCTGAGCCTTCGCTGACATCCACCTGCATGCCTGTGTGCCCAGGAGAGCACTCTCGTTTCTCGTGCTTCCCGTTCTGCTTCGTTTGTTTGTCCTGTTTTTGTAGATTTCTTATAAGGATTCAAGGAGTTTATTTATAACTCTGGTAACAGTTTTAATTGGTCTTTCTTTAATTTGTTCCTTCCTTTTTTTTAATTGCACCAAACTGTTGTTGGGGAGTAGTACATTTCCTTGACTTTCTGTGAGAGAGATGAAGAGTCTAGACTTTGAGGTGTGGCCACAGGCCAAGTGTCAGAGATGGTAAACAGCACAGAAGACACGCAGAGGGCAGCCGGGGAGGCCGTTCCTCCTCTGCACTCCGGCCTGTGCCCTCCTCCAGGAGGATGACCTGAGCAGTGAGGACCACCTCCTGTGCATTCATTATTATTCCTAGCCCATTCCTCAGAAATACCTAACCTTAGAATTTGAGGAGTTAGCTACAATTAAATTTGTTGTCTTTTGATGACAGTGGGACATACTGGTTCTCTTAGTTTTGATCCTTTTCCTTCCCTTTGTTTATATAAACACACGTATGGAAGTTACAAAACCTGATTGGAAATGTCCTGGTCTGGCTTTTCTGACTTACCATTTGACCTTAAGCAAGTCTCTCCACTTGTCTGGGCCTCAGTTTCTTGTGTGTAAAAGGAGAGAATTAAACTTGGTACCTCAGAACCATGGTGTGTGAACAACAAGTGTCTTGTTTTCCAGGAGTCAGCATTATAAATGTGTTACCTAGAACTTCGTGCGGCTAAATAGTCCATTTAGAAATTACTATCCCCCCTTCTCTTTCACAGGTTGTGTTTATTTCAGAAGATACACATAAGCAAAAAGAAAATTAAATTATGCAAATATGCCACCTCAGAAATAGCCAAAATTATCATTTTGTGATGTTTTATTGCTAATGTGTAGAGATGTAAACGTACATAAAATATAGAGTGGACTTGTGTTCTGCATGGTGTGCTGTAACGTGTTCTTGTCGTTACTGCACTGTGGACGACCCTCCGTGTACTGACTGGCGTCTGATTTGCAGGAGGGGCACGCTGGTCGGTATGCGGCTATAGTGTGATGTAGTTAAACGGTCCTTTGTGGCTGGATGTATAAGTTGTTTTTAGTTAGGGCTTTTAGTAAACACAGATATGGTAAATATGCTTACATATCCAGTTACCGCCTTAGGATAAACTTGCCAAGACGGAATTGCTGCATCAAAGAATTATGAACTTTTAAAAAGCATTTGATACATATGTAAGTTTTTATTCTATTAATTTGAGTACCTACTTTGTGTCAAGTACTCCATTATAATGTGTGTTTATTAAGTGGTTTAATAAAAAGGGAGCTTGGAGGAACGTATCTTCCAGATAGAATTTCCCTGCCCAAAAATGGCCACTTCTCCCCAAAGCCGCGTACCCCTTTTCAGCAGTTCTAATTAGGATGCTGCCTAATCCTCGCCACACCGCCAGGGGGCGGAACTGTTTTGATGTGCAGTTCTCTGATTATAGGTGAATTTGAGAAGTTTTTTCATACGTGCATATCTATTTCTAATTTTGTGTTAAAGTTTTTGTTTTTGTTTAGAAGTTATTTTTTTTTCCCTTTTCTGAGTATAGAATACCAAATGGGAGGGGATTTTTTTCTTGAGAAGTTTGAAAAAACTTTTCTTTTTCAGCTAAGATAATGTTTGTGAAGAACCTGTTACAATGTGGTAGCCTGCCATAAATGTTTGGTATTGTTATGCTTGTTAAAGATATAATGAAAGTCATGTCCAAGAAAAGAGACACAGCTCTGTGGACTGCCTTTAAAAACAGCCTTTTTGCTGACGAGTCCCTTTTCTCTCTGTAATAGCTTAGGAGATCTGAGGAGGATGAAGAGAAGGAAGAGGACATTGAAGTTCCAAAGGCCATGGGGGATATTTTTGAGTCGCTTGCTGGTGCCATTTACATGGATAGCGGGATGTCCCTGGAGATGGTTTGGCAGGTGTACTACCCTATGATGCGGCCACTCATAGGTACTGCGGGCTCCCCTTCGAGAGAAGCAAAAGCAAAATTAAAAACAACTGCAAGGGGGTTATTCACATTTTTCTCTCATTTTGATTACAGAAAAATTTTCTGCAAATGTGCCCCGTTCCCCTGTGCGAGAATTGCTTGAAATGGAACCAGAAACTGCCAAATTTAGGTAAGCAAAAAATGTGCATGGAAAAAAGTTAACTTACTTAAAAACAAGGGGTGAAAAGTTCTCAGAGATGCCGTAAACTAAGGATTCTGAAAAATATTTCCCCTGGGGCATGCTCTTGTGCAGTTCCCATTTGTAGTCTGATTGACTGCTCCTTTTTATTTGTAGAGTACGCTGAATTAAAGGAGAAACCGCAGCCCTGTGTGTCAGGGCCGTGCGAGAAGTTGTAATGCTCGTTTCCTTTGTGTGCTGTCGGCGTGTACGTGAGCCTCTCGGCCTGAGAGAGCACACTCAACGCTGACTGACAATAATAATAAATACTTCTGACGTCTCATTCAAGCTGTTTGGCCTTTTTACAGCCCGGCTGAGAGAACTTACGATGGCAAGGTCAGAGTCACCGTGGAAGTAGTGGGAAAGGGGAAGTTTAAAGGTGTTGGCCGAAGTTACAGGATTGCCAAATCTGCAGCCGCAAGAAGAGCCCTACGAAGCCTCAAAGCTAATCAACCTCAGGTTCCCAACAGCTGAAACCCCTTTTTAAAATAAAAAAAAAAGCAGAATTAAGGTGGAAAATATTTAAATTGAAAGGGATGATTTAAAGTTGATGCTGAGTGGAATAAATTGAAGGCAGAATTTAAAGTTTGTTTGATAACAAGCTAGGTTACAGAATAAAACATTTAACATGTGTATAAAAATTTTGGAAACTAATTGTAGTTTTAGTTTTTTGCGCAAACACAATCTTGTCTTCTTTCCTTCTGCTCCGTTTAAATCACAAGAGTGCTTTAATGATGACGTTTAGCGAGTGGTCAGAATAATTATCGACAGTTTTGTTCTGTGTTTTTTGTTTTTTAGTTGGGTTTCCGTCAGCTTAGCTCTTAGTGTTCTGTTAGGAGGCCAAGGAGCTTACCCTCCCGCAGTCCCGGAACTGCCGCCGTGCTGACGTGCCTCCATCTGTGTGGTCGCCGTCCCACATGGCTGGCAAGCCCAGTAGAGTGACGCGGTTCTCGAGAGGAGGAGTGTGCCCGTGTTGTCTTTTCTTTCCATGTTATATCGTGTAAGATGACGTCTCCTGGTCACGATTGCACTTAATAGAATGGACAGATTGTAATTAACGTTGGCTGGCACGTTGGTGAATCAAATTTTAATTTTCTCATGCCATGTAGTCTTGCATAAAGAAGGTTCTTGCCTTAAAATTAAACCCCTCATGGCTATTCTTTAGTTTCTGATCTTTTCGGAACAAACTATTTTACATTCCCTTCATGTTATTATGCATCAGATGTTGAGACAGCGTAATATTTACAACTCTCTAGTCTAGCTGTAACTTAACTTATTACAGGATTATATTAGGATTTCTGTTATATGTGTACTGAAGACATTTTAAAAACCAGAGTATGTAGTCTATGGATTTTTTTAAACACTGTAATAAAAATGGTGTTTGGCTACATACCCAATTTTACTAAAAACCTCCTGCTAGGTTGTTCCACGGATGGAAATTGTTTGTGGCAAATAATTTTGCCCTGTAGGCTGTTGCTCTAACAAAATAAACTTTAGACATATCACACCTAAAATATGCTGCAGATTTTATAATTGATTGGTTACTTATTTAAAGAAGCGAAACAGAGCACCTTGACCCTTAGTCTTCTCGCATAAATCTCTTACTGTACTTTTCACGATGTTGCATGCATATTTCACCTACCAAAGCTGTGCTGTTTATGCCATGGAAGTTTAATGTCTGCAACAAACTGCCGTAATTTTGATACATCTGTGATTTAGGTCATTAATTTAGATAAACTAGCTCATTATTTCCATCTTTGGAAAAGAGAAAAAAAGACATTTTTAGGCATTTGCCTAAGTTTCTTTAATTAGACTCGTAGGGCCCTCTTCACTTAAATACCTCAGTTCTTCCTTTCTTTCGCATGCATGTTTTCCCCGTTTGGTGCTATGTTTATGTATATGCTTGAAATTTTAATTTTTTTTTTTTTGCACTGTAACTATAATACCTCTTAATTTACGTTTTTAAAAGCTGTGGGTCAGTCTTGCACTCCCACCAACATACCAGTAGAGGTGTGCTGCAATTTGCCCCGTTAATTATGCTTGAAGTTTAAGAAAGCTGAGCAGAGGTGTCTAATATTTTCCAGCACATCATTCTGAACCCGATGCTTCATGTAATGCTGCATTTATGTTTCGAATTTCAGTCGAATACTGTACTTCTTGCTCTGTCTGCACCCCCCACCCCAGGGAAACACCTCTGCACGTGTGCACACAGAAAACGGTCAGCTCCGCCTCCTCAGGAACCCTGAGCGAGGGGATGCGCAGCCTCTCCAACATGGTCTGCTGTCTCCAATCTTAAACTGAAGTCGAGATCTAAATTATTAAATGGGTTTCTGAGCAAATTAATTCAGGTGGACTCATTTTTAAAAATATTCAATTCTGATTTGGAACCTTAGATTTCTATTTGTTTTTTTTTTCAAAAAACCTCAATGTAAGGTCTCCTGGCAAGTTAAAACCAAGCAATTCTTGAATTACAGAACTGTAAACGTGTACAATTAGCAAGTAAGGCTGGATGTGAATTTTACTCGTGAGGGTGATTTGTGATGAAGTTATGTCACAAATCTCGTGATGATTTATAAACTACCTGATGCCAGGAGCTGAGAGCTTTGCATTGCATCTAATGCACTCATCCCAGTGTTAAGGGACTCGCTCGCCTCCTGGCACCAAAATCAGATTGTTTCACAGTTACAATTCCCGTTGGGAGAAAAATGCCTCAATATATTTTGTAACCTTAAGGAGAGTATTTTTTGTTAATACTAAAAAGTTCAGACTTGGATATGATTAGGTTATAACATTCTCAGGGGTTCAAATTTCCTGCTACCATTCAAAATGTTTATCAACAGCAAACTTTAGCTATTTCTTTTTTTTTTTTTTAGGTTGGAGAAAAATAGCTGATCTTAATTTGTGACTCATGCTTTGAAGCATTCTCTGATCCCCTGGTTACTAGTTAAAAAATAAAAACTATGAGTTAGACATACGAAATGGTTAGGAACGCTTTTGTGCTGCTGATTTTTAATGCTGTAAAGTTTCCCCCAGTTTAGCTTGTTGAAATGTTTTGCATCCATTAATTAAGGAAAAACTCAGTCTGTGTTGCCCCACTTTCCAACTGTGTGTGTCACCCTTTTGTTCCTGTGATTGCAATGTGCGACCGAATGTAATATGGAAACCCGTACTAGTGGGAGGTGTGATTGTGCCCAAGCACACGTGGACCGGACTGGAGAAGCGTGTCTTGAAAAAGCAACTGCAGAAATTCCTTGCGATGATTGTGTGGAGGTTATTGGCACGAGCCTTCATTGTAAATGTTTTTAATTTCTTTATAATATACTTTCAGCAGTCCTAACTATGCTGCGTTTTGTAATAGCTTTCTTCCCCCATTCTGTCCGTGTAGCACAGATAAACATGGCCCTTGGTACCGCGCTTTACCTCATTTCAAGGAAAATATGCTTAACTGAGAGGAAAAATGTGGTTTGGCCTCGCTGCTGTTTTGATTTACCGAATTTGAAAAAGATAATTATAATGCCTGCAATGTGTCATATACTTGCACAAGTTAAATAGGTCATTTTTGTCTGTGGCATTTTTACTGTTTGTGAAAGTATGACAAAGATTTGTTAACTGAACTCTTAATTATGTTGGAAAAATGTTTGTTACAGTTTTTTCTTTTTTCTTTTTTCTTTTTTTTACATTATGTGAAGTGATTAAATTTAGAATGACCTCTAACACTCCTGTAATTATATTTTAAGATACTAATATTTTTACTTTCTTAATGATAGCCTCCCCTCGGAAAGATTCAGATGAGCCTGCCTAGATAGCAAGGACTTGCGGCTGCCTTGGTTCAGCTGGTTCAGTTCATAAATGCAGTTACTCACGCAGCAGCCAGCTCTTGCAGTCGTTACCTGGAATCAGACGGTGCCTGCAGAGAGCAGAGACGATCGAGGTGCAGACCCGCCACAGGCCAGTCCGAAGGCCTGGTTGATTTAAAACTTGATCTCCTGCTCTGTTGGGCTGTCTAATCCTTTCACACAAAATTTCAGCCACCGAACTGAGACCTTGATGTCTTTATTTCCACTGCATCCGAAATCGTGTGAGAGTCCTTCCTAGTTAGTGTCACCTGCAGAAGAGAAACTCCTGTCACGTTTGTTACCATGCGGTTATTTTAATTACATTTAAATAGGTATATTTTTTCAACCACTGATTACTTTTTAGGAATTTAATTATTTCCAAATAAATTTCTTTATTTTATATTGTACATGAAAAGTTTTTAAGATATGTTTAAGACCAAGAATATTAAAATGATTTTAAAAGTTGTTGGGAGACGCCAGTAGCAATACCTAGGGAATTTGCATCGAGACTGTTGTGTTTTCCGCTAGCAGTGAAAATGATCTTTTGGAACTAACTTGTAAATATATTTTAATCGTTAATTGTTTTTTCCCTTGTCCGTTTTTATTTGGGCATCCACCACAGACAATTTAAATTTCGTAGATGCGCTCAGAACGCAGCAGCAGGGTACGTAGCAGAAATGCAAAGGTGGACAGGTAGTACAATTACTGGCTTTTCTGCTGTAAATAGAATGAAGGAAAATGACTCAAATCAAGTAAAACTAACACACATGATTTGATTGACAATAAAGTATTTGCCATCACATGCTGCAGCTGTTTGTCAGGAACATGGTGTCATTCATTCATTCAGTAATCACGCTGCAGAAATTGGCAGCCTGCACCTTATGCGTCACCATTACCTTTAGTCGTTTTTTTGTATTAATTGTAGCCAAGTAAATCTTCAATAAAGTTATGGTCTGTTCACTTTGTGTCCTTTCATCTTTTCTCATTTTGGTTCAGTTCAAATGGGTCATAACGTTTAAATTATTGTAGCAGAAATGATCTTTAAAATGTTTTAATTCCATGGTCATATAAAAATGCATGTTTTAATACGATAAAATCTTCTTTGCCACGTTCTGCTTCACATCTACCGATAGAGTTACGTAGTAACAGTTGTCTTTCTTTGCAAGATTTAAATAATATCAGTGTGTTTTTCTGAAATTCTGCCACATTGACTGATGTGTTCCAGGTCCTGGATTATTTATGACACATTTGACACATTCCTTAAGTGAATTTGGTTATTCTGAAGTCAAGTGGACAGAATGTTCAGCTTCCAAGTTTTTAGGACACACTTCCAAAACTGTCGGTTAAGAGAGAGTTCTATTATTTCAAGCCTTGACCCAGCCTTTTTGTAACTCAGTAAACTAAGTGCTACTAGGAATGACTTGCCTGTAGGAATAAGACGGTTGAGAATAAGTTTCTTAAAACGAGGAAAAGTTTTAGTTTTCCTTTGTAAGAGTTTAAATTAATCCCTTCCATTTCCCTCCTTCTGATTCTCTAAACAAAAGGAGAAAAAAGTGTATGTATTTTAATCCCAAGGAATTTGGCTAAGCGCTGCGTGCTGGTGTGTGTTGGTGTTACTGCCCAGAATTCACTGGAGAGTTGAGGCCAAACCTCTGTGCCCCAGCTTGTTCCTGCCGCCGTGACCCTCCCTCCCGTGGTCAGCGGGAGAGGACACGGCCAGGCCAAGCCCATCAGTTTGCAGAGCGACGTGTACGTGCAAAGAATCCAGGTGAAGGTGAAACTTGTTTCTTTTTGCAGATCCACAGGCATCATGCGTGTTTTAGATGGCGTGGCGGATGCTGGCTCACAGCGGGCTCTGTGGTGAGCTGAGTTTTGGTCCTTATGAGACACTGGGAGCGAGGGGCTGCGCCATGGTGCATGTGCAGGCTGGGAGCTTGCTCTCTGTCCTGTCTGCAAGGTGATGTGTGAGCAACTCTGAGAACTTTTTGGGGTAAATTATGCTTAAAACTTAACTGTGTAGCCATTTTTGAGTATACAGTTTAGTGGCGTATAGTATGTTCCCAGGGTGGTTTACTCATCACCGCCATCCATTTCTAGAACTTCTTCATCCCAAACTGAAACTGTACCCATGAAACACTAACTACCCCCCCTCCTTCCCACAGTCCCTGGCAGCCAGCATTCTGCTTTCTGTCTGAATTTGACTCTTCTAGGTACTTCATCTAAGTGGAATCAGACGATATTTGTCCTTTGGCATCTGGCTTATGTCAGTTATTTCACTTAGCGTAATGTCTTCATGATCTATCCGTTATGGCAAGTGTCAGAATTTCCTTTTTAAGGCTGAATAGTAGTCCGTTACAAGTATCTGCCACATTTTGTTCATTTGTCTGCCGATGGGTGTTTGGGCTGCTTCCACCCTTTGGCTTTGTGAACACTGCTGCTGTGAACATTGGTGTACGCACAGCTGCTTGAGGCCCTGCTTTCTCTTTGGTCTATAGATCCAGAAGTGGGATTGCCAGATCTTATCATAATTCTATGTTTAATTGTTTGAGAAGCTGCCGTTCTGTTTGCCCCAGAACTGCACCATCTTACCTTCTCTCCAGGAACACACAAGTGTTCCCGTTTCTCCCCATCCTCACCAGCGCTTGTTGTTCTGTTTTTTTGGCCGTGGCCATCCCAGTGGGTGTGAGGTGGCGTCTTAGTGTGCTTTTGATCTGCGTTACCCCGATGATTAGTGGTGTCGAGCACCTTTTTCATGTACCTATTGGCCATTTATAGACCTTTGGCGAAATATCTGTTCAAGTCCTTTGCACATTTTTGAGTTGAGTCGGTTTTATTGTTGTTGAGTTTTAGGAGTTCTTTATATATTTAGATATTAAACCTTTATCAGATTTGTGATTTGCAAATACATTGTCCCGTTCTGGGGGTTGCCTTTTACTCTCCTGAAAATTCTCTCTTGAAAAATTCTGAATTGCAAAACACATTGGCCTGAGGCATTTCCGATGAGGCATGGTGGGCCTGAGGTTGATGGCTTGTGTGGCAGTGCCCGTCTGCACTAAGTGTCCTACATGTTTTCGGCTGTTTGCTCCTTACGCCGTCAGGGAGGCGGCTGCTTTTGGAGGGGAGTAGAGCATGGAAGTTCAGATCGAGAGCTGGAGTCAGACCACCTGGTTTCCAGCACCGTGTGACTGTGGGCAGGTTATTAATCACTCTTAGCCTCACATCCTTGCCTTTACAGTGAGGATGGAGTCATTTGGATTCAGTGGCGTTCGCGTAAAAAATGCTGAGCACAGTGCCCCACGTCGTGAGCCCGTAATAAATGGTGATTGTCACTACAGTACCCATTTTACAGATGGGAAAAGTGAGGCAGAGAGAAGGGAAGTAACTTGCCTGAGATTACATAGGAGGGCTGGGCCTCGAACCCATGTCTACGTAAATTGAAATGTTTAACCATCGTTTAGTAATTCTCTGGATCTTTTGAGATAAAGGTGGAACTAAAATATGTGAGTGAATGTGTGTATATGTTACAGATGTTTCATGTTGCAAAGAACACCACCAGATGGGACTCATAACCAACACAGGCAGCAATTGTGGGATTTTGTTTGTTTCTGTGTTTTGTGTGTCACCTTAGCAGCTCATTTCTTTCAACCAAGGAAGAGATTCCATGGTCGTCTTCACTAGAGAGCCAGGGTCAGAACCCCCGGTTACTCTGTTACCCAACTCACATTAGCCTGACAAGCCAGGGACATTCCCAGTGGCCGCTTAAGGGCCGTGTGCAGGAGCCAGGCTTGGTGGGAGGAGCCTTTGGCGCCCCATGTTAATGACGCTCCGCCCCATCCAACGAGGAGCAAGCACTGGCTGAGCCTTTGCTGCTTTCCCTCCTGCTTTTGCATTCACTCCATTTCGAAGAAAGAGGAAAGCCCCTTTCATTCAGGAAAGCCGCTCCTGTTAGCTGTCAGGTGTCACTGTAGAAGGATGAAAAAAGTGAGTGAGTGAAGCTGGGGCTTCACTTCCAGAGTGTGTGTGCTTTACACACACGCGCATGCATGCAGACTTGCAGCAGAAGCCCCGGCTGCAGGGGTATCTCTGCCCTGTGGAGTGGAGCAGCGTTTTCCGGTTGGGGCCCCCTCCCGGTTTCCTTGGTCGGGGCAGAGGGTGGTGTGGTTGGTGTGCAAAACTGAGACCCTCAAGAAGTGCTACTAGAGTGCTGTTTGTGTCTCGAAAAAGTTTTCTAACCTTTTTAGGAAATAATTTTTGATGAGCTGCTCACTCTCGTTGAGTGCTCCCTGTTTGTTTGTTTAGAACGTTCTCTGTCATTTGTAAGACTCCCAGCCATCCCCTCTTTCCTTTCAGTGCCTGAATCTGCCTTTGAGATGGAGACTTGAGTATCAGATTCCAGGGATGTCAATAGATGTGCTATGGCAAAAAAACGTTCCATGATCGACTAAGTTTGGACAATCACGGGTTAAACAAAATTGAACAGGGTTCTTTGCAGCACTTCTCAGGTCTTTTATTGTGCTAAAGTGCGTTGGAACTCAGTGAGGGCTGCATTCCCCAAACTTACTTGACCACAGACCCCTTCCCACTAGGTCTTATGGGACCAGCATCCTGAGTAACACACTTGAAGACGTGCCCTACCAAGGGCATCTGGGCATTTGGTGAACCCCGTGTGTGATGGTGCCCAGGACTGTGGTCTCCCGGCCAGCGGGTCCAAGGTCACACATGAAGGTGACCAACCGTCCCTGCGGTTGGTGGGCTGGAAGGAACCCTACAGTTTTCCGGTCTCTGGGCCGCTCTGGCTCCCGTTCACGGTGGGCGAGTCTAGGTCCTGTGGTCCCGGCTGGGCTTGGCTTGGCTTGCCACTAGCAGTGGTGAAGTGAAGCTCCTAGTGGAGGGTGTGTGTTATGTCAAAGCGAGTTTTGCGTGTCTGGGGGCTGGCCCTGACAGTCCCAGAGCAGGACACAATTCACGGAGTTCGCCTCCCTCGGACGTGGCGCCTCACCCGTCTCGGGGTGATGGACTTGTCTTGCCCATAACCCCACAACTGCAGCTTTCGGGGAGCTGTTGTGCTCTGTGCTGTCGACTCGGCCTGAAGCTCTCCTGGTCCTCGCTCCACCTTCTGTACTCACCCAACACCACCCTTCCTTGGAGACGTAGGGGTGCGCAGCCCCTGGGGACACCTCCTGCCCGTACCCAGCCCCACCGTAGGCCTGCGCCGTCCTCTGGGTGCCCCCGCAGCCCTTCCGCTTCTCAGAGCACATCTCACACTGTGCTCACCATCCCTCCTCGTGTCTGAGCTGCTGGGACGCAGAGGCCTGTGTCCTGGCCACCACTCCGTGTTCCCTTCCCCACTGTCGGCCTGCAGGGGACCTCAGTCCATCTCACTCGGTGCTGTGCTGTCCTCTCTCTGCTGTCTGAGGACGTTAGGGATTCTTCAGGACACAGATGAAGTTCGGGATCCGGAGGGAAGGGGCGGGGCAGCGCCAGCAGAAGAGAGAGTGGGGAAAGTCCCTGCCTTTCACAATGTTTTCACCCAGGGGAATGGGACCTGGGTCCCTCCTGAGCGTTGTCTCAAAGTCTTGGGTGAAGGTGGGTGTTTTGGTCCACCTGACATGGTTGGGACACACGGAGTTAAAGACCCAGTAGAGAAATGTCTGGAAGAGCCCATGCTTTTCCTGAAGATTTGGTTTGAATTGACACTATGACTCTTGGAGCTGATGTTCCCCCTTCTTGCTTTGACTGCTAGGCAACTCGGAGCCAGGGTCCCAGCAGACCTGTAGTTCATCTGTTCGCTGAAATATTGATTAAGCACCTTCTGTGTGCAGACACTTCTCTAGGCGCTGGGGACAGCAGTGAATAACATGAATGACTGTTGGAGGCGGTGACATCCCAGTGGGTCCCAGTGGGAAGACGGGCCACAGCCGGATCAACGGATCGCTCCTTTCTGGGAAGAAAACCCTGTG